GGGAAAAAATATAAGAACCAAGAGACTCATGTAATGGTACAAGATCCCAATGATGAATGTAACTGTATTGTATACCTAAAATGTACCAATAAACTAATAGGGAAAAAGAACCAGATCTCTCATTCCCATGACCTTAAGACTGCAGCCCAAAGTAAGGTCAAAAAGCATTCAAGACTTCAGGTAGGAATGCCTAATTCATATGTAAAATAAAGTCTTGGTAAGAAGAAAAAAAAAAAACAAAGAATGGAAAACTAGCATGTTTACTATGATCACAACCATACAAAAACTGTAGGTGCACCAGTGAGAAGTATAATTTGAAACTGAAGATGCTACGGTACCACCATGGTGCAGCTGGGAGTGCACTCATTCTCTCTCCTTGGAAAATGGCTACAGGAAGAGGATGACCTCCACAGGGTAGGGGGACCATTGTTCCAGCAGGAGCCTGCACTCACCTCGCTAGCTGTGGCCAGACTGTCCTCCTGCTCCCGCAGCTGCTGGCTGGCAGTGTCTAGGCTCTGCTTGCAAAGCCTGTGGCGCTCCAGCTGCTCCCGCATCTTCTCCTCTGCCTCAGCCTCCCGCTCCTGAAGCTGCCGGATGTGTGCCAGGAGCTCTTGGTTACGGTCAACCTCACGCTGTGCAGAAAAGAGAGAATTTGGCCAGAGGGAGATGCAACCCCAAGTGGAGTGTCCAGGGGAGGGACACTCTACTCCTCCCTTAGGCCACTCAGGCCCCCAAAAAAGATAGGCAGGCCCAAAATCCAAATCAGGGCAGGCCGGGCCAATGTCAGTGCCCCTGCCATGGCAGCTAGGCCTCTGTCGTGGTGAGAAAACAGGGCCCCAGGAGGGCACTTAGCATGGATCACACCACGTGCTCACAGTACCGTCTGCTCATAGCAATCGTCTTTGCAAGAAGAGATGGAGCATGGAAAATCTAAAATTCAGAATTGACCTTGGAGAACAGCCGAGCTTTTGCAGCACCAGCAAATCTTGTCTAACCCACTGAAGCCGTCATTAAATGAGTCGGTGTTCCCCCAACAAGCAGATGACTGGGACAGGGACAGGCAACATGAACATCAGCCTGCAGACGGAGAATGGTCTACACTGGGCCCAGACCTGCAAGAATGTGCATCCTCTCAGCCACAGCTTCAGAGCCACCACATATCATTAAGCTCAGGGAGGCCGTGTGGCTCAAGTGGGTGAAAAAAGTCAGAATTAAGACTTCAGCCCAGACCTCCTGGCCCTAACAATCCACAGGAAGCCAAAGGTTCACCATCAGCCACAGAGAAGAGACCACAAAGAAGAAGTCAAATCCCAGGAGGAAAAGCAGTGAGCACTGGTAACCTAGAGCCCAGCACCCTGGTGACCCCTCACCTTGTCCCCAGCAAGAAGCTTCCTGCACAAGCTCCCTTTTAAAGCCACCAGAAACTTCTAAGCCAGTCCTACTCAGAAAAATGGCTCATGCCACCCTTGTTCAGGACACTCCAACCTAAAACAAAGGAAGGGTTTAATAAAAGCACAGGTAGGGCCATGGTCTCCCAGAGGGGAGGCTGATGCACATCTCAAAGGGACTCACGGGGACAGAGACTGCAAGTGCAGCCTCCAAACAGCCAGGGGACCCTTCTGCAAAGCAAAACAAGCATGTTCTATTGGGGGACTAGGACGAGGCTCAGTGACAAAGACCACATGCTTAGTATGCACAATGCCCTGGGTTTGGTCACCAGCACCCAAAAATAATAAAATCAAAGTGTTCTGCCTGCACAGGGCCTGGTTAGCACCATCAAAGCCAGAACACTCGTATCTGTTGGTATCACCAGTCCTGAGCACAGATGCGAGTTTAGGCAGGCCCTCAGACCTCAGCCCCTAGGTCTCACCACCTAATGGTACTTCCAGGTGAGAGACCACTTGTCCTGTAGACACCCACCACCAAACTGGCAGTTCCGGAAAAACTGACCTAGAGGCCCAGGGCTCCAGGAACAATCCAATGGCTTCTGGGCCCCAGTGGGCAGTGTCTGGGAGCAGGGAAGGGAAAGCAGCTCAAGCTCAGCAGGGCCAGGACCAAGCTCAGTCACCCCTGCACCCTTTCCCTTCCCAAAGAAAAGCCATGCCCATGGCAACCCCTCACTCATACAAACATTCCCAGAGCTTTTGCAAAGTACCACCACCAGTGCTAAGCACTGGAGACTAGAGGAGCAGCAGGGCCTGCCTTCAAGTTTCTGCTCAGAGAACTACAGTAGCCCAGAGTCCAGAGCTCTTCCTCTGCCTGAGAGCCAGGGCTGCACCATCAACACTGCTGCAACATGCCCAACCCTAAAAAAGAGCACTTCAAACTCTTGGTTCACAGAGCCCAAGTAACACATCACAGCCAGAAATGAACCCAATTAGTATCACACTCTGGAAGACATCAACCACCTGAACAGGGACTCGGGAAGTATGTGAATATGCAAGTATGCCAAGAAGCAGGCCTGCAGGGACACCAAGAGACTTCCTAGTCCGACACTCTGCCTGCATCTTGGCAGCATTTCCACAACTGATCAGCACTTACTGAAAACTGTGGCAGAGTGCTGTTAATCAAAATGTAGCAAAGACCTCCCGGAGTTACAGGGCTGTGCTTTCTCAGCTGTCCTGGGAAGTCCCCAGCAAACCAGCAGCCACTAAGCAAAGGCATTTGGCTGAGGATCTGTACCCACCCCAGCAAGATCCAGCACAGACTCTGAGCCCCTCACACAATCCAGTGACTTTCCCAGCCCAGTCACCTCTACACCACCTGCATTTCGGCCAGATCTGCATTCCCATTCTTTCAGAGGGAAGAGGAAACAGAGACCCAGAGGAAGCACTTCTGACACACCACAGCCACACCAAGGACCAAACGAAGCGAGGAGTCCCTTTTTGCAACCACCTTCATTTGAGGCCACTCTCTTCCGACCCACAGCAGCAGGTGGTTTCCGAGGAATGCCCTGGCAACTGGATGCAGAGCACCTTTGCGCCCCACTAGCCAGCCCCTGGTAGGTACAGCACATAGCCCTTGCCTCCCCCAGCCTACCCCACCTGGACCCACCTCATAGTTCCTGGCACTGGTGCTGGCTGCCTTCTCCAGCTCCACACGTGCCCGCTTGTGACTCAACTCCATTTGCATCTTCTCTCGCTCCACCTGGATGAGGTAGGACTTTGAGCGAATCTGCTCGGCTCTTTCCTCCAACTGAGGTCAGACCAAAAGAGAAAGGGGATGTTCAGAAGCTGTGTTAAGCAAGGTGAGTGCCTCAACACACTCCCCAAGTGCCTCTGCCCAAGGTCTCCTACCAGGCTGGGTCCCAAGCTGAGAAATGGGTGGGAGACAAAAAGTAAACATCAAAAAAGGAGGAAGGGCTGGGGATTTAGCTCAGTGGTTCCACCGCCTGCCTCACAAGCTAAGGACCCGAGTTTGATCCCCGGTACCAAAAAAAAAAAAAAAAAAAGATGAAAAAGGAAAGGGGTATTTTAAGATGATGGTGTATGAACCTGTTCTAGGAAACAGAATATTTGTTTCCTATGGCTGTGTAACAATCTGCAAGAAACACCACCCATTTACATGGTGACAGTTCTGTAGATCAGAAGACCACACACATGTAGCTGGGTTCTCTGATCAGGTCTCCCAAGAATAAAAACCAATACACTTGGCCAGGGCATGTTCTCTGCCGCTTGGGACCCTCTGGCAAGCTCACAGGTAGAGAACCAAAGTCCACTTCCCTACTACCATCAGCACTTGGAATAGCCAATGTCTTTAGGGCTGCAAATATCACATCTCTCACCACATGGCCCTTTCCGTCTCCTGCTTTGAACCTGATCTCTCTGCCTTTAACTTCTCTGTCTCTGACATCTGGATCCAGAATTTTTTTTTTTGGTACTAGGGATCAAACTTGGGACCTTGCGCTTTCGAGCCAGGTGGCAGAACCACTAAGCTAAATTCCCCAGCCCCCAGACTTTTTTTTTAAGACAGGCTCTCACTATGTAGTTCAGGCTGGCCTTCAGCTCACCATGTAGCCCGGGCTGGCTTTGAACTCTTGGTGACCCTCCTGCCTCAGCCTTCCAAGTGCTAGAACTACACTTGTGCCACCAGCCCAGCTCAGACCCAGACTTTTAAAAGGCTCTGTGATTAGGTCAGGCCTGCTCAGGAAATCTTTTTTTTTTTTCCAGGATTGAACTGAGCCTTTGCACTGAGCTACATCTCCAGGCCTTTTTTACTTTTTGAGACAAAAGTCTCAAAAGTCTCACTAAGTCACTAAATCACCCAGGCTGGGCTCAAACTTTCGATCTTCCTGAGTGCTAAGATTACAGGTGTATGCCACCATGCCTGGCTGGGATCTAACTGAAGACCTTAATTATATCAGTAAAATCCCACTGTACCTGCAACAACATCTAGTTAGTGCTGGCCTGAGTGATGGAGAGAAGGCAGAGAAGTTAGTGTCTAGCAGGGGCCTGGTATTTAGAAGCCGTCTTAGAAGTCAGTCTAGTCTGAAGGTAGGTAAATACAGGTCACACAGATCTCAGAGAGTCTCAGAGAATACATCACATAGTTCCATGGCATCCCCATGAGCCAGAGCCTTTGCCAGCCAACCGCACAGTGTCTCCCGGGCATTTACCACATGTAGAACCTCGGTATGCGCCCTCATTTACCAAGTCAGAATCACCTCCAGACTCATTCTCAGGTACTCAAGTGCATTTTAAAGTCAAAGAACCATTGGGCTAGAAGGATGGTTCCCACAGGGGATAACCTTGGCCCAAGGGGACTTACGGCACTATCGGGAGACACTTGTGACTATCACAGATGAATAGTATGTGTCTGCCACTGGCATTTAGTGGGTAGAAGCCATAAGTGTCGCTAAACCAAAGTATAAAAACCTATCCTCAGAATAAAGATCAGACTTTGCCAAGAAAGGGCAGTGAGCAACCCCTGTTCTAACAGTAACTCCATCACTCAGGAAACCAACTCGGACAAACCCTGTCCCTTTAGCCAAGCAATACACAGGCCTCACCAGGGCTCTGAGAGCAACAGGAAATGGCTGGCACAGGCCATCAACACAAGAATGGCTCCACAGCACATGCAGGGTGGACAGGGAAGCCGGTGAAGAGCCTGGTCCCGCCACTGGTGCAGGGATGGGCAGAGGCGAGGCTGAGATGCCACGGCCTCCTTGGGGGCCCAGGTGTCCCAGTCCCAAGTGGGACAAAGCCCATGGCTCTTAAGAGCCTGAAGCCTTTTAGGAGACCTGAGTCCTTTGCAACTGGATCCATAGTACTCCCAAGAACTTTAGGTGAAATGAAGTCTGACTATAATCAGAGTTAACTGCAAAAATCACCCCAAGATCTGCATATAGCCCCGCCACAGGCTAAGAAGGTGACATACCCAGTCCCACTGCTCGCTGCCTGGGCACACAGTCTCCCCGTGTCACATCTTTGAGAGGACAGCATCCTGGATGGAGAATTCTGGTGCTCATGCTCTCAGACAGTTTAGGTTTTGTCCTCAAATTAAGTGAAGAAACCTTCAGACCCTATCATTGGTGTCCATGAGTCCTTTAGTGTAAGCACACTGATGAGTACCACAATTACTCTTGGGGTGCTAACCAGGCAGGCCTTTACCCAAGGCAGGGCCTAGACTCCAGGTATTGCTCCAAAGCAATGAATGCCCACAATGAGATCTGGAAGACAGCCAGCTGGCCTCTAGACTGAGATAATACTGACCTGCCTCAACTAGATGGAACTTGAACAGGCCCTGCCTGAGCCTGAGACCACCCAGCTTGGCACCCCCACTCACCTGCATGCTCTGCTGGTACTGCATTTGCAGGGAACTTGGGGCAGAGGTAGATATATCCAGGCCAGAGCCTCCCTCCATTCGCTGGGAAATGAAGTTGTTTAAGGACCTCAGGGTGGACAAGACAGTGGTGTTCTCCCCCAGATCTTCCATGGCTGCCTTCTTCCTGGGAGACAAAACAAAGGGCAGAGGTAGCATCCCCACATACGATCAGGTACCACCATCTGCAGTGCCTCTACGCAGCCCACTCCCACACCCTCCCGAAGCCCACAACCATGTTCTTCAGAGTTACCTAGGAGCCCACACCACCACTTTATGAAACAGTAAATAAGGCATAAAACCACACCACCAACCCTCAGCCACCAAGCCACTGTCACAGTGCTGGCCTGACACCACCTGGAGAGATAGATGGCTCCCCAGAAGGGGTACTCAGCACCCCAGGGGCACATCTTCCACAGGCAGTCTCACAGAACATGTGGCTGCTGGGAATAAATGGGAAACAAAGCTTGCATCAATGTCACAAGGGCGACAATGGCCAAAGAAATGCCAATGGTGATTACAATGTCAGTAAGTGCTACCACTCCTTCCAACCAGACACCAGAGAGAAGTATCCACGTTTACCTAACACACTTCCTGATCCTCAGTTTCCTCATCTGTAAACCCACCCTAGTGATAACCCACTCTCCAGAGTTGCTAGGAGGACCACAGTCAATGTGCCTGAATCTTGAAATGGTACATGGCACAATTGCAGGCACACGGTTTCACCAGCACTCTGCTTGTGCAGCTCCAACAACAGCTCAGCCTTCAGGAGAGGCTGGTAAATTCAATGTTCTTACACAGATGGTACAGAAAAGTACAGAAGAGATCCAAACTGGGTCTGCATGGCTCTGAACGTGGCATGTGTCTCACAAGCCCAGATATGAAAGGTGTGTGGCCAGCAGCTACAGAGATCTTTGCATCCCCAACACCAGTGCATATTACAGTTGCACAGAGACCCACCAGGAGCCAGGAGATGTGGAACATCCCATGTACCTTTAGAGCCAAAAGCATATTCTCCACAGTATATACTGTTTCTCCCCTTAGGAAGAGCCAATTCTAGTTGATTTCCCTTAGGTAGCACACTAATTTCCCTTTAAAAATATTGGACTGAAACAAACACAAACCACTCAAAGAAAAAAAAAAGTGAGGTTGTAGTTGGCACATGCCTGTACCAGCTACTAGAGAGGCTGAGGTGGGAGGATCTTGAGTTCAAGGCCAGCCTGGGCAACATAACAAGTTCCTATATCGAAAAAAATAAGAATCTTTCCTTGCCTCTTCTGAGTTTCCCACTTAACAAGAACCTTGGCAAGCACCCTTTCATACACACCACCCAGTGAAAGTGGGTGAGAAGGAAGGCGGACAGGCTCTCCCAGTGCTGTGAGCCTGAAAGATCAGGCCTGCACAGTGGGATGCAGCGGAGCTCTGCACTTCAAGCCTAAATCCTTCCCATTGCCAAGATCAGACCAGGACCACATTTTCCATCCTTCTCTCCAGACGGCAACCTCTCAGAACTGACCTACTAACACACTAGATGAAGGAAACACTGAAGCTCCAGGGTATACCACTTGTCTAGAGTGTGCAAAGCCCTGTGTTAATCCTCAGCACAGAAAGAGACAGACAGAGAGAGAGAGAGAGAGAGAGAGGAAGAATCCTGCATTTTCAACTTCCTAGAACCAGGCTGTCCCACAGGCACACCATAAGGCATTGGCTCAGACTATACTCTCTATGGAAACCCAAACTTCCCAGCCACCTGGCCATCAAACCTCAACCACGAATTCCTCAGCTGAGAGTTAGGAGCACACTGCCTTAAGGGCCTCAATAAGAGGAAGGATGCCAGGCGTAGCAGCACATCCCTGTAGTCCCAGCACTTGGGAGGTTGAGGCAGGAAGATCACTGTGAGTTCGAGGCCAGCCTAGGCTACATAGTGAGTTCAAGGTCATCCTGAACCCAATAGCAAGACTGTCTGAATTAAAAAAAAAAACAAAAACGATGGCCCAGAAACCTACAGCGTGACCAAGAATCCTACTACCTGAATACTACCCAGTCTCCTGGTAAGCTTGCGTTATCCAAACACATGCACTCTCTACAAGTCCCAGCAGTGGTTCTCTGGACACAGTTTCTCCACTGAAAACAGAAGCAACAGCAACAACCATGTCTGCCACACCAGCGCAGGGGGCCCTGGCCAGCTCAGGGAGACAGCAGAGTTAGCAGTCACTCTTGGGCACCAGCCTCTACCACTCCGTCAAACACTAGTTGAATCCACCCACTCAACTTAGACCTCCTGCCACAGAGAAGAGGGAGCTTCAAGGGAACACAAACCACCAGTTGCCAGGGCAGACCAAGGGAGTCTCCAAGGTGAGGAGCCTTGCAGACCCCAGCCAGGAGAAATTGATAAGAACAGTACCTAAATGGGGAGAGGACGGGTCTGGGAGTCTCTGGGACCATGGAGATCCCAGCCAGGAGGGACATGAGTGGAGACCGTGCCTAGAGGGGGCAAGAAGCCAGGAGTCTGCAGGGTGGGGCACCATGTAGACCTCAGCCAGAAGGAACGGGGTTCGGGACAATGCACAGAGGTAACGGGGAAAGTCCCCAGAAGGAATGAGAACAAATCAGTGTCTCCAGGGTAGAGACCATGCAGAACCAGGCCAGGAAGAACAGGGATGGGGATCGTGCCTACAGGGGACAAGGACAAGTCAGGGGTTTCCAGAGTGTCCCCGTGAAGACCCCAGCCAGTAGAACTAGGGGTGGAGACCTTGCCTAAAAGGGGGCGAGGACAGGTCAGAGGTCCCCAGAGCCGCGCAGACCCCAGTCAGGACCGCAGAGGCAGGAGGCGCGCCACGAACTTCGGGCTGTGCGAACGGAGCGCGGGACCCCAAGGGCGTGGGAACCAGCGAAGGGGGCGGTCCCTGGACCCTGCTCTCGGGACCCCACTCTCGGGACCATGTCCCCCGCCCCTATCCGCTCACCTCGCTGCCAGCTTGCTATAGCCGCCGCTGCTCGGATCTCCCTCCTCTCCACCCTCACCCACTTATCGCGAGAGTCGCGCCAGCATCCTCGCGAGATCCAGTAGAAGCCGACCGTAAAGAACCGAGTCTAGGCGCCGCTCGTTCTAATTTACGGTTTCAGCTTCCGTTCCCCGAGCAGACCACTCCAGGAAGGCCCCGCGGAAGGGGCTCCGAACCAAAGACTGGACTAGAGTAAAGTCGATAGGTCCCCACCGCTTTCCCGCGGGATGCACTTCCGCGACGGCCTCCGCCTGACTCGCGCCGTAGTGGCTGGAATAGCTTCGCCCCACGGTGGCCTCCTAGGGACAAATTTCTCTGCATACTTAACGTTTCACAAAATCTTGGCAGCTTTCACTTGAATATAGCCCTATAATTTACCCCTGAAATACGAAGTATTTGCTTTCCTAGTGCCCTCCACGCCCCCGGAGCGCGGGACCCATGCCTGAACTGCATCCAATGTAGGAAAGATCAGATCACCCCTGACTTATGGAAACATTTTCCATGCTTGACCATGGAGCCTTCCCCAGATCAGTGATTTTCTTATGAGTTCTCCCCTTCTTCCACCACCAATCCCAGGCTTTGAAGGTTCCATTCCCAAGGGTCTATGTTGAATTTTCAGTTTTTTCCAGAAGACAAGACTATCAAGTTTGTGTGCCCCATAAATGAAATAGGAGAGTAATGGGCTGCCTGAACTCCCTGACTGGGACACAAAACAAGGAAGTAAAAATATCTGACCCACAGCTTGCTTCAGGGAGCTGGTCATTTCCTAGGACCCTGACCAACATCCCTGGGTATGCTGTCTTTCCCATTGGATCTCAGTCTGGAATCATCCTTACAGGCAATAGACTCCTCCAGAGGGGTGAGGGCACTTCCAGGAAATGGCCTTAAAGAAACCGATCGGTTTAAAAAACAAACAAACAAACAAAAAAAACCTTAAAAGCACGGTAATCCTTTGACGAAATGCAGTCTATATTCTTTGATAAAGCTTTGAGTTCCTGGAAGAGTAAAAGAAAATAAATGAACACAACACATCACTGCTTGCTTTGGCAATTACCTTTATGGTCTTGAAAGACAGAGCTATTAACAGCAAGATATATTCCCAGCAAAATCTAAAGCGCGCACACACACACCTCATGCATACATTCATACCAAATGTCTCCTCTAAAAGCTCCGGGAACTCTCAATGCTAGAAAAATGAATGTATTTCCAGATTATTCAACCAGAGAGATGGCAATTAATCCCCAGATGGAAACTTCAAGTTTTTCTATTTTATGCTGCTTGGCCACAGTAACTGGAAACATATGTATTGTGTTCTAAAAGCATAGAAGAACACCTGTTCCTCTGTAACATGCTAACACTCTGTAACAGTGGTGGCGAACCTACGGCACGTGTGCCAGTGTACTGTTTGTAAAAGGTTCATTGTTACTGGTCTCTAAGCTGGGGAGCTCCATAAAGGCCTATGTGGGCATGTTCATCACTACCTCAGTCTGTTTTTATTCTCCCTTCCACCTGCCTCTTTACATCCTTCAATCTCCACCTGGTTTTCTCCTGATAATTTTCTCCTCAGAAATCACAATATGGAAGGCTGATTTTTAAAATCATCTTTCATCCCCCTTAGATATATTTTGCCATGTCTTTTCCATTTTGAAAACCAAACTGGCACTCTGTGGTCCTGCTCATCTCTCAGACCAGCTCTGATTCAGCCACTTCCAGGAAAACACCCAGGCTCTACTCGTGGTTCAAGAGGACCTAGCGCCCATGAGAGTGACAGGCAATGAGGACAGAAGACCCACAAGAGTGGCAGGAAAATTCACTGCTTCACAGAGCCCTTCCTTCGGCGGTACTGGGTGGCCAGGAAGTAGACCTCTGATGACTCCTTCCTGCTGGCCTCAGGTTTTATAGTCCTCGTGTTCTGAAATTCCTCAGTCAGTCTCTTCTGTAACCGACGGCTCTGACTTCCAGCCCAAGTTTTACAAAGCACTGTTCCCCCAGGGTGCAGGATGTCTGGAGCCATGTCCAGAAGGGACAGACACATGCTGATGAGCCTGTCATGATCAAGGTCCCGGATCCCTGTGGCATTGGGTGCCATATCACTGAGAATCACATCTGCCTTTCCACAAGGAAGCAGTTCCATAATTCTCTGGAAAGTTCTAGGGTCAGTAACATCAGCAGGGGACAGAAAAGTTGCTCCTTCCAGAGGGTGGATGTGAAGAAGATCTACCCCAAGCACAAAGCCAACAGGAAAGCTGGGATCTATGGAAGAAACAATGACTATGTTTACACTAAATCCTCCCACAAAATTGTACCACACAAACTGACAAAATAAGGTGTCAGGACTCAGGAATAGAGCGAATGTGCCACTATGCACATTATGCACTCACAATGCACCCACTCAAAGCTGGCCTTTCCCAGTGCCCTAATCCCTATCAGCTCCCAACACTGAGGAGTACCTCAGCTCTGATGGTGAGCCTCAGGTTTGATAAATTCAGGGTATCGTCACATTTCCAAGTTCAGTTTGTTTAATAAAAAGGCTATTTGGAGCCCTTTTATTACATGCCTATAACCCCTGTAGTCCCTTTCCTAGGCTGAGGCAGGAGGATTCCAAGTTCTAGAGAAGCCTTGGCAACTTAGTGATTTAGGAAAACGCTGTCTCAAAATAAAAAATTTTCAAAGGACTGGGATTATAGCTCAGTGAGAAGGATCTTGGTACTGAGTACCTCACCCCAAAAAAGAGGCTGTTTAGACAGCAGGAAGGATGTTTTATTTCTAGAAAAAAAACTGGAATTTTGAATAGTACCTCGCTTCTCACAAGTGAAAACCCTCAATTTTCAGCCCAGAAAAGTAGGGCACCTCCCATCTCATTTTGTCCTTGACTTTTCTTACCTTTATTATACTAATGTGTTGAATCTTGGAGCTATCCACTGAAAGTAGAATTTGGTTGCATTTCTGCAACTCTGGGAGGGAAAGCTCAGGTTACCCATGCATTCTTGGGTTCTGTCCCTTCTTCCTGTAAGTTAAACTAGGACATTTTCCTACTTCTGAAGTAAAATTAGGGGAATCAGCACTACTATAATCAATTACTAGGAGGCTCTCTAAATTGCTAAGTTGCCCGGGCTAGGCTCAAACTTTCCATCCTCTTGCCTCAGCCTCCCAGAATGCTGGGATTATAGGCATGTGCCACTATAGGGTCTCTTTTTTTTTTTTTTTGATACTGGGGATCGAACTCAGAACCTTGTACTTTCGAGGCAGGAAGTGGAACCACTGAGCTAAATCCCCAGCCCTAGGGTCTCTTTCTTAATCAAGGGAACTGTATTATTAGAATATCTTATTCCAAACTCTAAAATATAAAACATGAAAGTTAAGGTTGACCCAGAGTGGAGAATTCAGTGTCCAGGCCAGGAAGCCTTTCCTGAAGCCTGAGAGGCAGCAGCCCCAACAGGCCCACTATGAGTCCCTAGGACTTCAAGGAAAGGACTGGGAAACCTCTGGGGTTGACTCAGCTATACTGTCATGGAAAGATGCTGATATATATCATCAAGGAAAAAAGCAGCTCCATGATGGCCAAAATAGCTGAAAAAACCAAACTTGAAGGATGCACACCCACAACCTAAGTGATGGGATTTGACTTTTTCTTTTGCTTTGCTTTCTTTGAGACAGGGTTTCACTGTGTAGTCCAGGCTGGCCTCGAACTTGCAACAATCCTCCCGCCTCAGCCTCCTGAGTGCTGGGATTACAGGCTTGCACCACCATGCCCAGTGAGATTTTAATTTTCATTATACCTTTCGCCTTTTTCTTTGTGAATGTGTGGAGCTAGGGATCAAACCCAGACCCTATTACACACTTGGCAAGCTCCTACCACAGAGTCATATGCCCAGCCAGCCCTTTTCATTTTGAAAAGGTCAGTGTCCTGTTTTCATCATTATTCCTAAAGCTTCACCTAAGAAGTAGGTGCTTCTGAGAGTGAATCAACTCCTCTGTGTTCCCACGAGAGGGCAGCTGGCTAGCATCCCCTCAGCCTCATGGTGGTCAGAAGGTGCTGAGAGTAGCATGGAGGCCCCACCTGCACCTGTGGCATTGACCCTCTGCACTGCCACCTGACTCCAAGCCCCAGGAGCTGCTCCACAGTCCAACACCCGGAGGCCGGGCCGGAGAATCCCGTGCTTCTCATTCATCTCCAGGAGCTTGAAGGCACTCCGACAGCGGTAACACTCCACCTTGGCAGCTTTCACATAGGGGTCCTTCAGATGGCGCATCAGCCACAGGTGCTCGGTGCCTGTCCGTCCCTTGTAGTGCTGCGCAGCCGTGTGGAACCTCTCACAAAAGAGGGAGGCACACACCAGCTTCCAGTACCTAGTGGGAGAAAAAGGAGCAAGAAGGCTGGTGTCACATTGCTTAAGTCACAGCGCCAGGGATCAAAGGTTCAACCCACTTGTTTTTAGAGATGGAGCAAAGAGGGGAGGCGGTTTGACAACACTCTGCTGAACTGTGTCCCTCTCAAAACTCAAGTTTCCCAGGAATATGGCTGTGATTAGAGATAAGGTCTTTAAGGGGATAATTAAGGTAAAATGCGGTCAGTAGGATGGGCCCTAATCCAACCCGACTGGTGTCCTGCTAAGATTATGACACAGACACAGAAGGATGGCCACGTGAAGACACGGGAGAAGGTGGCATCCAGCAGCCGAGGAGAGGGGCCTCAGGAGGGACCGGCCCTGCCCGCACCCCCATCGGCGCCTTCCAGGACGCGTGAAAGAAATGACTGTTTAAGCCGCCTGGTCCGCGGTGCTTCGGTACAGCAGCCAAGCCAGGCGACCCAGTACAGGTTTCTGCTCTCTCAGGGATGGCCTTCTTCTCGCCTGAAGGTTTCTTCACAAGGAAACCTCAAACATCACTGACAGTCACCTCGTTTATATAATCAATCAACACTTTCCCAGTGCTGCTAACAGTACTGAAAACATTAATGAAAGGAATATTCGTTCCTCCTCTGGCAGAAATTCTCACTGTGCTCTGGAAAGCTACAAGAAAACCCCGTAAGTCAGAGTTCTGCCTCAGTTAACCCTCTCCGCAGGCCCGGTGAGCCCCGACGGGAGGCTTCGTAAGGGGCCCATCTACCGGCTTCACGTCCCGAATTCCGGGCCCGAATGGGCCAGCACCTTCTCTTCGTTATGAGGAAACTGGGGGACCCAACCCCTCCCGCCGCCCCGCAAGAAAGCAGCACACGGCCTACTCACCCAGCCATAAGCGTCCGCCCGCGCCCTCCGGGAGCCACCGGAAGTCCCTGTCTCACTTCCGGTCCAAGGTCCGCCCCCTAGAGCCCCGGAAGCTGCATGCGGGTAAGTATGGCGCGCGGACAGTTGGGCCGAGGGTTGCGGGACACTAGGGAAGCCGCGGGAGCGGGGAGACAGGAGATCTGGAGAGAGCAGGAGCTACCAGAAGAGACCCGGCGAGACCCAGGGAAGTTAGATGACATGGGGGGAGACCCGAGTAGCGGGCCAAGGCGTGGGAGTGGAGGGGTACCCGGGAAACAATAATAGGGTCAATGGGCAGGGCGAGCTGGGCCAGAAAGCCTGTGGGGTAAGAGGGATCGGGGCGGGTGAGGAACCGGTGTCTGGGACCCAGAGCTAGGCATAGCCACTGGAAAGACAGCATTTACCGAGCGCCCACCGCTGGCATTGCTGAGCGCTGCAGCACACTTCTGTTAACAGCCTCTATGTACCAGGCCATGTGGTTAAGGAACAGGGTTACCACCACCCATACCCCTGGCATTAGGGACTTTCTTGAGGACCCTCTGATTTACCCAGGAGCTGAGGGCACATTAGACATTGGTATCCTGTACACCCAGATTTAGTTACTGAGTCTACCTTGTGACCTTGGGTCAGACTCAGACTCTGTGAGCTGCAGTCTTCTCTAAAAATGCGGAAAGTAAATCTTAACTCCTGTCAGTGTTGAGTCTGTGATGGAGGATAACTTGAATAGACATTGGCCCCCAGTGTCCTTGGGTTCAGCATCAATTTAGCCAGTGTATCGAAAGTATTTAGAAAAGTAATAATTATATCTGTAATGATACATTCTTCCCGTCATTATTCCCTCGATGATACAGTATAACAACTACTTATATAACATTTATTTGTATTAGATATAAATCATTTAGAGATGATTTAAAGTACACAAGAGGATGTGCGTAGGTTATGTGCAGATACCTTGAGGAACTGGCCCCTCACTTCCTTGGTCTTCGGTTCTTTGTGCTCTTGATGAAAGAATTCAGTCAAGACACATAGGCCCTACTCAAAAATAGGGAGAATTTATTGTAAAGTAGGTAGAGGGAATTACACATTCAGGCAAGAAGGCAGGCGGTCCCAGGAAGACATCTGCACTGAGTGGGAGTTTGGATACGTTTTTATGTACCTGAGAGTTACTCTTGGTATCTAGGGAACTGGGGTAATTATGATGCTTATCACTCTTTTACTTAGAAGTTACTTGAGAACTGCAAAATGTCCTGTGTTTCCTCGGGGGCTTTAAGCATAAGAAATTTTATAAAGATAAGTTGTTAATTTAGGTCCCAGCTCAATTCAGGAAGGTCTTTAAAGAACTTTCCCTTCCTGATACTGTGCTATAGGCTTTGACAGCCAGGAATGCAGTGTGCCTTGTTCTAGAGTTAGATGGCCAAGTGGCCAGATATCACAAGTAACATGCACAATGTATAACCTTAAGGTGTCATTGTGTCCTGTGGGCTGATTTTAGGCCAGAGACCTAACAAAAGATTATAAATGCATTATACATTGAAGCTTTTCTTTAATTATCTGGTAACGCATGCTGTTTTGGACACCACCGCCCCCTTCATCCCTCAGGCCTGCTCGTGTCTAACTATCTGCCTTATAGCCTGAGCATCCTCAGATTTTGTTATCTGAGGGATTCCTGGAACCACAGCCCTAGACATGTAGAAAAGCAGCTGTATGTAGTCAGTGCTTAATAAGGGAAAGCAGGCACTGCTAGCAGCAACAGCATCAGAGTTACTTGGGGAGTCAGCAGTCACTGTCAGGACGGATGGAAGCCTCATGGGAAGCACAGCCACAACCCTCTTCCTTCCCCTGCCTGACAACCCCACCACAGGCCCCAGCCTCCCTTTGCTTAGACACCATAACTTCCAAGAAGTTATTCCCTGGCTCGGAATCCTGCTCTGGACAGGTATAGTTCCCCAGGCCAGAACTTGGGCCTGATCAATTCAGCTTTCTCTAAGGTCCTTTCTCCAGCAGGGTCTGCCAAAGGCTCCATGCCTCCCTACACACACACACACATCTGGTCTTTCTCTAGACCATGAACACCTGTGCGGGCAGAATGGGCCCAAACAGTAAGAGCAGATTGAGATAGACCCTCTTGTCACAGGAATGCAGACCTGCCCCTGTCTGGAGCTGAGCACCTCCTGGAACTCCGGAGGTCTGTTACTGCGGAGAGCCAGAGCCAGGTCCCAGTGGGCTGGAAACAGCCCCTATGAATGAAAAGGGCAAGGCCAAAGCCTGCTACAAGAACCACTGGATCAACTGCACGGTTCTCCATGGGGCCAGCCTGCCCTGCTTGTGTATACAGGCTTAGGGTTCCTGGGGTAGATAGAGGAGCAACAATCAGCCTTGAGAAAGTTGTGCTGTCCTTCATAACCAAGAGTACCAACAAGTGGGAAAGGAAGTTGAGACCCTTCTGCTGCTGGACCAGCCCTGACAAGCAAAAGGCCTGGCACTGATACTGCTGGGTGCTGAGAGCAGGCCTCTGCCCCAGAAAACAATTGGTTCAAAAGCATTTGCACCTGCTGCCAGCCAAGCCCCATGTCACAGGCCTGGGAAATTAGTACCAGGGTTCACCTTGCTTCCTCCCAGAGTGCATCTCCTTCCCACCAGGCCACCAGCCTGCACACACGTGGCACCCACAACTGCCCATGTTCCCCTGGAGGCTAGCCCTGCCCTCTTGCTTGCCTACAGAGTCCCAGGGAGCCATGAGCACCTCCAGGCTCTACACCTTGGTGCTGGTGCTACAGCCTCAGCGCGTGCTACTGGGCATGAAGAAGCGGGGCTTTGGGGCTGGCCGCTGGAATGGCTTCGGGGGCAAGGTGCAAGAAGGAGAGACCATTGCAGATGGGGCCAAGAGGTAAGGAAGGGGGTGTCTGGCCACAGAGCCGAACTGGGAAGCATGAGGATGGGTGCAGAGCTACACTTGAACTTCGCCACCAGGAGCTGTGTAACTTGAAGCATGTACTTAACCCTGAGCCTCCTTTTTTATTTTTTCACAACACTGGATTGAACCCAGGGGCTTTGCACTGAGTTACAGCCCTAACCCTTTTTGACTTGCTTATTTATTCATTTATTTTGAGGTAGGGTCTAAGTCACTAACTTGCCCAAGCTGGCCTTGACCTTGCAGTCCTCCTGCCTCAGCCTCTCAGAGTGCTAGGATTTCAGGTATGCTCCACCACACCTGGCTGAGCCTCTGTCTCCATCTACAAAAGGGGAATAATAACCTCAGCAACCTACCTCTTAGGAGTGTTGTGAAGATAAATGAGAAACTACACGCAGAGGACTTGGAGCTGCCTGGCCTGCAGCAGTGCTGAACATGTCAGCTGCTCCCACGTGATGGTGGCTGTGTTCAGGACATCTGTGGCACGCCACTGTGTGTTAATGGCTTCAGTTGCACGGTGCTGGCTTCCTCGTGTAGCTACAGGGCTTATCGGCAATTTGGTTTCCTCATTTTTGGAGGAGTAATGGTCACCCTTATCTAAATCTTCAGCACATACAGTCTCAGTTCTACAATCAGCTCCCCATGGGAAGGAGCTGAAGCCCAGAAAGGTTGAACAGTTGGCCCAAGATCACACCATCCTCCAGACAGCAACCTCTTTGCCCTTCTCGCTCCTCACAGGCTCTTAGGGATAAATGAGGTCGTCAGTGTAAGCATTGCCAACCCCTGCACAAAAATAGTTCTTGTTATGGTTGTTCCGGTTATGTCAACCTTAAAGCCACTTTCCCTGAAGGAGAACAAAACCCCAGATACAGAGAGAGGCTCCTGGGGAGGAGGGAAGCTGAAACACTACAGCCCAGAGCCTTTTTGTTTTTCTTCAAATTTCAACCCAAAGTAAGAAATATGTCTGACCCTCTGCTGGAGCATGCATACTTGGGTACCTGTGCAGATAAGGTAATGAATGACAGCCTTACTACGTGGAAGGACCTTCTCCCATTTTTTACTAATTGCTGGTTGATTTCACAGGGCATGACAGGGTCACAGCCCTCAGTGAAGAGCCCTGGCTCAGACCTCCCTGCCAGGCACACATTTTGTGTCATTCTGGCAGGTTCCAGCCCTTGCCGCTGTCCCTGTGCCAAGATGGTACAGCTTGGAGAAAGACCTACCTAGTGAGTGGGCACCCACCCAGCCTGTGGTCTGCTCAGGTGTGGCCAGAAGCAAAAGTGGACAGGGACAGGTGACCCAAGGCCTGGTTTGCCATGCACTGACTGACCGTCTTCTGCCAGGGCCATAGTTAGGCCATGAATCTGTGGAGCCCTCTGCTCTGTGTCAGACTCAGAGACAGGGAAGACTGGGTCATAGCCCCCACCTGTGCAGGGCTGCCTGGTTCAGGAGCAGCCTGGCTCAGGAGCAGTGAGCAGGAGGAAGGGATCCAGGTGTCCAGGACAGAGTGCTGGATAACTGGGCACAGGGAGACTCTCCAGGGTCCTGACAGGAGGTGTTGTCTTCACAGCAGCACAGAGGCCTGAGCACAGGGGCTGTGCAGAGGAGTGTGGAGGCAGCGGAGGGCAGAGGGTGGATAGGGAAGCTGAGGAGCCTGAACCAGGTGGCTCAGTTCCAGCTGCCCATCCTGCCGGTGACAAGCATAACTCCCAGGTTCCCCTCTGCAGCCCTGAGGTGTTTGCTTATGAACTATCTCAAGGTCTCAGGACTACGTCCTCCTGCCCTCTGTAAATATCATTCATTTCTGGATTGAAATAAGCACAAGAAACCATTAGTCCAGACCCTCATAGCTAAGCACGATGGTAGTTCTCCCTCTGACCAGGTATGAAGTGGGGAAGGAGGCAGGTATGGCGCAGGAGGCCAGCCTTCTCAGATGGAATCTGCATCCATCCTGGCCATGCTCCCCGACTACCATTTCCAGACCGCCCACTCACCTGGGCAAGTGCAGTAGCCCTCACTGAACTCTTGCCCCTACCTTCCCTCTGAGGCCCGTGCTCTACTGGCTGACAGGCTTATGCCACACTGTCTAGGTCCCCACCCTGCCCTCACTATGTCCCACCCCAGCATTTGCGCACATTCATGTGAACTCTCTTAACAGGTTCTAGTGCTCTTAAAATTCCCACTTGTTATCCACTGAGCCTCTGTGGGCACCGGCTGTTGCCCACCCACTCTTCCCAGCTCCTCACCTGGCAGACCCCTCCTTGGCCTTCACATCTAAGGTGCCTCCAATTGCCCCGCTGTTCTCCATGAATCTCATCCTTATTTTCTCTAGCACTCCCATCCTTTCTAATCTTATTAAGTATTCAGTTCCTCTTTCTTCCCAGAAGCACTCACCTAGGCCAGAACTCCATTCAAGTCCAGCTTTTCCTGCAGTGTAACAGACATGTACAAAGCTGCACACTCCGTGAATTTTTTTTTTTTGGTACCGGGGATCAAACTCAGGACCTTGTGCTTGTGAGGCAGGCGGCGAAACCACTGAGCTAAATCCCCAGCCCTCTGCCCCTTTTTAACCCAGTACCTTTTCCTTACCCAATCATAGTCCACTATCCATTTTAGATACAAGTGGATACACTGCAATTATTTTCCACCCCATGGCCTGCCTTTTACTCTTAATGTTTTAATAAATAGCTATTTCATTTAAAGGAATCCTACATATAATTTTTTCCTTATGGTTAACATTCTTGACAATTACTAAGGTGACCTGCATATTCCGAGCTTAAGAAGATGCTCTTTTTTTTTTGGTACCATGGATTGAACTCAGGACCTTGTGCTTGCGAGGCAGGCGGCAGCACCACTGAGCTAAATCCCCAGCCCAAGAAGATGCTCTCTTAAGTGTCTCCTAAAACAGAAATGTAGGTCTACAACCCATGTAAAATTAAGTTTTCACATGACAGGACAGCAGAGCCATGACTGGGGTTTGTTTTCATACAAATTCCTAGCTGGCACATTGCTTGCTGAAGAACATGTTTCCCCTGCGCTGACACCTCTGTCATGAAGAGGTCCACCATGTCATGTCCTTTCCACCGTGCCTGGCTCCTACAAAGGGCCGGCCTTCCACAGGTAGTAGATGGTCGGACAATCGATGCAGAGACTGCAAACCTGACGGGATGCCAGCAGCCGTACGGAGTGTGGACTGGAGGAGACATAGCGGCTTCCTTTGTGTTGATCTCACTGCAGATGGCAAAATGGCTTACACTGCATGGCTGTATGGGTGAGCCTCGTTGCCATGGCCCTACAGTGAAGGTCTCATGGTCCTGAGCAGCTCACATGCACCTGTGGGTTCCCCAGGACCTGCTGCCCCAGCTTCTTTCCCTACCTGGGCACCCACCCACGAGGCAGGGCTGGTTTTCCATGCTTCACAGACTTTCCTAAGGCAGGGATAGCCTTGCCTTTGAACTGAGGTCAGAAGTTCAGCACCCAGGACCACACTATGCTTGGCCCTGTGGACTGTGTGGTGCCACTTGGGCTCCTAAGGGGCTGTGGTCATCCCTGAGGAACTCACTGGGCACCCACAGACGCCAGCCCAGAGTGCCATGTAGGATGCAGTAAGGGTAAGAGACGCCCTATGCCAAGAGACCACCATGCCCCTGCTTCTGCGGGGTGAGCAGGAATGCAGGACAACAAAGCACAGGAATTCCCTCCACATGAGGGAGGAGGGTGCTGCAGCCACACGTGCTGAGACTGGGGATCCCAGACCCCCAGGGATGAGCTGGCCTCCTATGTGCACATCTGAACAGAGCTGCCCCTCCAGAGCCCGGCAGCATCCTCTCCCTGGGAATCTGGTATGGTGGGGCCCTGTCCCTTAGGAGGCTCCCAGGGGGCAACACCACAGCAGCAGCACGACTCTGAGTGCCTGTCTGTTCCCACCTGGTCCAGGAAGCCATTGGATCCACATGGGTGTCCCACCTCTGCCTAGGGGCAGGCAGGCACTGGGGGGCTCGGGTGGGTTTTTAATTTACAGTGTGAACATTATTTTCTGGCTAGCAACACACACCAGCAAGCAGAGCCCAGTTCCGAGAACAACCAGTGCCAAGTCCTGGGGCTTCCTACCCCCACCTCCTGTACCACAGAGGGTGCTTTCTGCTCTGTATTTGTGCTTAATTTATCGCTCATCCTGTTCTCCATCTGCCATGTGCATCACAGATACAGCCAGACACTTTAGCAAAACTAACAGGGTCGACTTCATCTGGCTAATTACTCCAGCCTGTGAAATGGAGCTTTAGCTCCATCACCAAGGAGATTATTGATATCATACACACTGCCACATATTTGGGGAGGATTAACCAAAATCAGTCAAAACATTGCATCAGTAGGAGATGATGCTACGAGTAGCAAGATCCACCCACCTACTGCCAGAGAGGCAGGGGAGGCCCTGCTGAGCTCTTGCAGTACGTTTAATTGGGGACCCACTGCACATCCACCCCATGTGAAAGACACTTCTTTTAGATCAGGTCTAACTTTAATTAGCCATCTCAATGTACTGATTTTGGGGCTATGCCTCTGATACCACTGCAGACAGCAAGCAGAGAACCATTTAACCTAATATGTAAATAGTGTTTTCCATATAAACAAAGTAGCATCCTGACTACTTATTACAGGCAGAAAGAAACCAGGTTGTTCCTAAAATAACTCAGAGATCAAAGCTAAAAAAGATTTTCTTATATACACGTATAAATGGTCAGACTTGTTGCTTTATAGGAAGTTAATCTAGGGCAGTGGGGAAGCAAGGCACCTTGCAGCAGGAAAGGACCTGCAAGTCCCCATAGTCCTGAGCACACAGGAGGTGGCTCCCATGGAGCATGGACACCATGTGCGCCCAGGTGTGGAGGTGGCAGTATATGGTGTACACACCTTAAATGCTCAGCACGGTGCCTTTCGTGATGACCAGAAGTTGAATTTTTTTATTTCCATAAGTTTCAACAGTTCAGAGTCAAACATGGTAGTGCATGCCTGTAATTCCAACTTGAGAGGCTGAAGCAGGAGGACTGCTGTTGAGCTCAAGGCCTGCTGAGCAACTTAGCAAGGCCCTGTCTCAGAAAAGATTTAGCAGTTTAGAAATGGGTCCGAGATGGGCAGGGCAGGGCAGGGGGAGTGTTCCACACACCTGTCTCAGTAAGTGAAAAATTTGGGGTACAGCATGTCTGCATTTTCATTAGGGAATGTGCAAAGGAGAAAGACCCAAGAGAAAATTACTGGAATGACACCAGTTCGCTGTGGGTGATGGCTTCGTGGGTGTTTTGTTTCCTAAACTGTCTACAATGAACATGTAATTTTAAAGACTTTTAAATTAGCAGCAGCGTGAGATACTTAGGCAAGGCAAGCCAGTTCTGTTCTCAGTGAATGGGAGGGCTTGCTCCAGGTTAGGAGGATCCCTTACACCTCCATGAGCCACTGGTGTCCCAAGAAGAGGAAGGGGGGTGTGAAAGGAGATGCCCAAAATATCAGATCATTGTTCAAAAGAGCTGGTTCAATGGCAGAATCTTAAGTCAAATCCTTCAGCGGGGACCCTCAAGACCTGAGGTTTGGTCCCATGTTGTCACAGTCGGGGCACTGAGCCTGAAGGACATTCTTTGGGTGCAGAGCTTGGGGACCAAGCTCCAGAGCAAGTGTTGGGGGTTCCAGCACTCCCCAATTTGCAGGAGGCTCTTGAGTGTCCACCAAGGAACAGGAGTCACCTCCTGCTGTGACCTTACTCCTGAGACTGCAGACAAGGGGCTGGACTCAGTAGCATGGGCCTGTCACCCAGTACACAGGGTGCACCAGACCTGTGGTCCCCATACACAGCTCCTCACCATCTCCTAGCCCCTCCCCAGAGCCTCCCACCCAAGTTCCTTTTTGTGAGTCAGGGTCTTCCCATGTTGCCCAGGCTAGTCTTGAACTCTTGGACTCAAGTGATCTTCCTGCCTCTGCCTTTGAGTTGCTGGGGTTACAGGTACATACCACAAACTGACTTTTTTTTTTTGGTACCAGGAATTGAACTTAGGACCTTGTGCTTGTGAGGCAGCACCACTGAGCTAAATCCCCAGCCCACAAACTGACTTTTTAAAGCTCAAATTAACTCTGCAGTTGGGCCAGGTTGGGACCTACAAACGCCTTCTGGGTAATGTCGTCTTCCTGAGATCTGTAGCCCATACATCCCACTTCCGGGGTCCCAGGGCCTTGTGGGTGCAGGCACTGTACTTTAGCTGATGCCACCTCCTGTCCCTCTCTGCCCACAGGGAGCTGCAGGAGGAGAGTGGCCTTACAGTAGACACACTGCAGAAAGTGGGCCACATCACATTCGAGTTTGTGGGTGTCCCTGAGCTGATGGACGTGCACATCTTTAGTACTGACCACGTGCAGGGGACGCCCATGGAGAGTGATGGTGAGTCTCAGGGACCCTGCTCACTGCCAGGGGTTGGTGTGTGTTGGGGGGGGGTGCCTGGTCTCTTGCCTGGCCCATCTCACATGGAGGCATTAGGCACAGGCTGAGCCTCACAACTGGGGCCACAGGGCACACCGTTTTCCTGCTCCAGAAGTAAGAAAAAGAGTCATGAAAATTGAATATGCAGTAGATCCAGCTGCCCACACAGGATGCTCAGTGTCACCTCCCAGAAGCCAGTTCCATCTGCAGCTAGCACTAGCCGGATACCTTTATGCCCTATGTACAGAAATGCGCCCTCAATGGTTCCAGCTGGACCAGATCCCCTTTGGTGACATGTGGCCCGATGACAGCTACTGGTTCCCACTCCTACTTCAGAAAAAGAAGTTCCAAGGGTACTTTAAGTTCCAGGACCAGGACACCATCTTGGACTACTCGCTGCGTGAGGTGGACGACATCTAGCTTGAGCCACTGGTCCCAGCTGGGTCTGGCTGCTGGACAGACACAGACTCAGTCCAGCTGGGCTCAGAATGCCACAGTCGGCTGTATCTTCTCTTTTGGAAGATAACTGGACAGAGGAAAATAAAGGGCTTCACTTTTTTAAATGGTCTTCACCAGGCAATAGCACAACCTACCCAGTCCTACCCACAGGAAGCCACCATCTGTGCTGGGCAGAGATGGGAACAGGGAGGGGACAGGGGACAAGGAGGGTCAGGTATCTGCCTAATGCTGCAGGCCAGAAGGTATATTGTCCTCTCACCGCCACCCCCTTTTTGTGATTCCTCCCCTTTCACAGGAGGGGACACTGAGGCATGGTTAAGGACTCAGTGTCTAACCCCAAGTTTAACGTGTCCCAAGCTTATCCCTTTCCCTGCCCCCAAAGAAGGGGCTGTTCCTTCTCCATGGGGCCACCACCAGGAAGAAGGGGAAGAGCAAAACACCCATTACACAAAGAACCTACAGCTAGACCCAACTTTCAGACATGTTTAACAACTTCACAGGAGTTTGTGGATAAAACTACAGAATGCAGGTCATGTGTAAACAGTTCCAGTTTATTGCATGTGGCAGTAACTGATTTCTGCAGCCACGGAAAGTGCTTCTTACATAACACCTAGCTCTGGCCAGCACAAGAAAAGGCCTTGAGCACCAGGAATAGTGCTGATTTCAGCTTGCGGTCCTACGCAGGCCCACAGCAATCCTTTCCTGCATGGCCTCAGACCCAGCCCCACACCACCACTCTGGTGGGCCTGACAGAAACATGCCCTGCACTCTCCACTTGCAGTCAGCTCCCTCCAGCCAAGACCCCAGCTGAGCTGCCCTCAGTATTCCTCACCAGGAGAGCAGGACTCTGCATGCCATGCCTCATCTCCTGTGAGGATGGTGCCCAGCACCCTTCCATCAGGCCAGGCATGGCCATAGTGGGGTACACAGGCTCAGGCAGCAGGACAGCAGAAAGGGGGTCAGGACCCCTGCTCCCCTGGCACCATGAGATCTTTACCTTGGAGCCAGGAGCAGGTCAAAACTGAGTGGACACTGCCAGCCTGAGCCTGCAGTGCTGCACTAGCAGTTACAGCAGGTCCCTTCCCAGAGCACCTAGGGGTGAGAGGGCAGACAGCAAATGAGGAAGCTTCCAGCCACACCCACCCCTGGGGCGCAGAGCCACTGCAGGCCATGAAGGCTGCCCTCCTCCCCTTTCGTCTCCTCTCTGCTCACCTCACCGTCTCACTGCTGAGAGAGGCCATCAGCTAAGCAATCTCAAGTCACTCGCTCGCCCCAGGTTCCCTGCCGGTTCTTTTAAAGGGTAAAGTTCGCTTTGGCCAGGCATCAAGGCATTCACGTGTAATTCCAGCTACTCAGGAGGTTGAGGCAGGAGGATCAAAAGTTTGAGGCCAGTCTGAGCAATTTAGCAAGATGTTCTCTCAAAATTTTCAGATTGGCTAGAGGGAGGGGTAGAGCAGTGGTAAAGCGCTTGCTTAGCACACTCTGGGCCCTGGATTCACTCCCCTGTACCAAGCACACACGCACACACCGAGTCCGTGCGGAAGGCCTGCTGAGTGCCTCTTCTCAGCCTGAGTGAGGAAGGGTCCTCCCCAGCCTGGGGATGCACACCCCTGGCTCCAGAGCCTCATGTCAGCAGCAGGGCTGCAGGAACAGTGCAGAGAGCAACTCAGAGCCGCATGGCAGAGGGGGGTCACAGGCATAAGCCACCCTGAACCACAGCGGGACAGTCTGCCCTCTGGCCAGCCCTGTGGCAGAAGTCACAGCCAGTCTGTCCATTCGCATGGCCAGAGCACTGAGTCCCCACAGCCACCACATCCTCCTGGTGGGTCTCACACAGCTATCTGCCAGAACAGGGTGCCCCTGACTCACCCTGCGGCCTGGCAGTGTGAGGAGCACTGCCTATGGAGTTCTGAGCCAGCTGGGCCTCCCTCTACCCCGGGAAGGGCACTAGGAAGCAGGCAGGAACCATGGGAGGAAAGAAACTGCAGAAATGCTGCATGCTTCTTCGCAGTCTGTCCCTGGCCAGTGAGGACAGGGCTTGATGACAGCCAGGGGCCCTCTTGTGTGTCCACTACAGGAAAGAGAGCAGCCATCACCCAGATCTGACCTACAGAGCAAGAGACCAGCTTCCCTCAGCCTGAGATGCCCTCCCCTGGGCGGGCAGTCAGGAAGGGCCTGCAGTCTCCAAAAAAGGAAAATGGTTTCAAAGTTGGTCCCAGTGATGCTCCAAAGCCCAGCCAGCAGTCCTCTACCCCGTACCTGACCCTGTACCCCACCTGTCCACTGGCCCACCTCTCAAGCCTCAGTGCCCCACAGCCTAGCTCCAACCTGGCCACCCAAAGACTAATAAAGAAAAAGCAGCTTCCAGCCTCCACATCATCACCTCAGAGATCTCAGTGCATTTGCTCTTGCACTCAACGCATGGGGCCCCCAGGATCATGGATGCATGCAGAGGGCAGCTCGGGACACCTGGCCTAGAGGGCAGCCCCAGCCCAGGCTCTGCGGGACTCACTGGAGCATCTCCTGCACTCCTACACTCTACCAGCGACATTCTGCACCAGCTGGCCTTCCTGCCTCACCTTCTGTTCTGATGCACATAGCAGTGACCCAGCCACCTATGTCTGGGGCCCGAGTCCACAGTCTGACCTTTCCCCATCAGAGACTGGCCATCTCCTCACCTGATGACTGCCTGCCTACAGGTCAGTCCTGTCTGCCCTTTCCCCTGCTCGGCTGACCCCTGCTCCAGGCTAGCACTCTGGACTGTTCTGGTACCCGGGGACCCCTAGTGCCCCCCAGGAATGATTTGCAGTGTGGGAATGACCCTTGCCCCCCCAACTCTGGCCACCCAGAGAAACCCATCCCAGAGAACCCCAACATCTCCACCGGGCCAACAGGCCACAGGGGTGATCAGGAGTGCAGCCTCCCACCCAGGAACAGGGTGGAGACAGCTGGCTGTGCCCCCGCAGACCTGGACAGCATGAGCTCCTCTGCTTCAGCCCCTCCAGGCACCACGGGGCAGCGGCCGCCATCCAAAGGGAATTAGCCAGGGACACACCATTTGGAAAGAGGTTTTAGTGAGTCACAGGGAGCTCCGCTATGGCCTTAGGCACTAGCGGGGACACAGGCTGTCCTCTGCAGGAGAACGTGGCGGAGTCAGCACGCTGTGGGGTCCAGCAAAGAGACAGCTGAGCTTCGGTTTCAGGTCGTTCCACACCTTGCTCATCTGCAGGAGAGAAGGGCCTCTTGTGAAAAGGGCACAACCTCGCCCACCTGGAACATGGCAGCTCCATGTCTGGAGACCAGCAGAGGGCCCACAGTGAGCCACACCCCATCCCCACCCCACTGGCCACAACCACAGAGCTCCTAGAAGTCAGGGCACATTGGCCCATCCCACTTCCTTGGTGGGGGCCATGCTCCAGAGGTCACAGGCGGCTCATCCCCAGTGCCACATGCAGGACCAAAGGCCACCATCTGACCCATGTGTAATTTTAAGAAATCTGACTGCCAGCACTGAGGGAGGCTGAGGCAGGAGAATCACATTTGAGTCCCACCTGGGAAAATTAGAGACCCTGTCTCAAAATTTTAAAAGGGACTAGGAAGGTAGCTAAGTAATAGAGCACCCCTGGGTTCAGAGGAAGGAAGGGGGGATCCGCTCACAGCACTGTGCCCCACAGCTTTGCAAATGGCCTTCCACCTGGCCCAGGAGGTCAAACCCCAAGGCTATTTCCACCAGATGAACAAAACAGGAACAGGACATGGGACCTAACGACCTACCAGGCACTTTCACATCTAGACATAGTGGGCATCAGAGAAGCCTATCCATAAGCTGAGGATAGACTCACATGTGATGTGAGGGCTTATGTGACAACCGAAGAGCAGCATGTGGCCCTGGCATGTGCCAGTGAGGTCCAGCCACTGGTAACGACCAGTCGGCACTGGGAGACAGGACTAGCGAGTCACTGGCCATAAAGAGACTGCTCACAGCTCAGGGCACAAAAACATACCTGGCTGGAATGCAGCCCTGCCACCACGTCATAGTCACCAGCCACCCAGACATCCAGCCACCCAAGATGTCACCTTACCTTCCTGACCTTTCTACACTGCTTCCGTGGTGGTTAAGGTGAAGTGTCAACTTGACTAACTTTGGGATCTGCCCCAGGACTGGTGGAGCACACTTCTGGGTGAGTCTGGGTGGGTCACAGAGGTGTGTCCTTGGTCTGGTCTGGTCCCTGGCCCCTTCCTCTCTGTTGCTGTCCCCCTGATCTAGCTCCTGGCCTCCATGAACTAAGCAGTTTTCCTCTGCCACATCCTCCTGCCAGGTTCCACGCACAGAAACCATAAGCAAATTAAACCTCTCTCCCTTAAGTTGTAGATGTCAGGTATTTTGTTCAGGGACAGGAAAGCTCATACAGCTTCCTCTGCAGTTGGGCCTGCATTTCCCAAACTGCCGGAAGGCCCCCCCACATCCAAGCAAACCTACAGAGTACCGTGGAGTATTTCACCAGGGACAGGAACACCACTTATAAGATTACATGGAGGGGGGGCTGGGGATTTAGCTCAGTGGTTTCTCTGCCTGCTGCGCAAGTGTAAGGACCAGAGTTCGATCCCCAGTACCAAAAAAAAAAGATTACATGGAGGCTGTGACATCTGGAGCCCATTAATCAACAGAATGGAAAAATGTCCTTTGCCTAAGGGTACTGTGAAAAGTACCAGACACTATGAGCACTAGGACCTCCAGCAGCATGGGAACCTCTGCCTTGCACTGAGGTGACTTCACACTTGTATGATGACCCTCCTGTCCCCCTAGCCACCAGGCATCCTACTGACAGCACAGATGCTGGGCCCCTTCCCCACTGATTCTGACTGCGAGGTCAGAAGCAAGCTCTGCAACTCGGTTCCACATGTGGGCCAGACATCCGGGCAGTTCTGCTCTCCACAGCAGGGCTAGGCTGGCTGCTGCTCAGTCCTAGTTACTCCCGGCTGGTTTGGTGACCTCCACCTATCACCCCACACTCCACGGCAGTGACCTCTCAGCTGCAGGTCTGAGTTCATGTGACCTACTGTTTCCTGATCCTCCCCTGGGCTCTGGACAACCCTTGGCCAAGGCATGAGAGGCCGGCTCCCCACTCACTGGCCCACTTCTCTGTGTATCCTGGGTGAGAGGGACACTAGAATCAGCTTGTGCCCACCGCCAGTCCCAGATGCCCAGGCCAACCTCAGGAAACACAAGGCCATACTTTCTGCCATTTTCCATATGGAAACTGAGCTGCAGAGGTCAGGAGAAACTGCAACAGTCATGCAGAAGGGACTGGAGAGCAGGGTGAACAACTCTGAGCCTGGGCTCCTCCCCCGCTTCAAGGGGCTGGAGGTGCCCACACACAGATGTGTCTCTTTAGGAGGGGACTGTGCTCCCAGTGCCACCAGAAGGCATCACTGATCACTCGGAAGGGAAGGCAGCCAGGCCAGGGAACATCAGAAAGTGGGGGCATGGGGGCTACTCCAGGGCTAGAAAAGATGAACAAGATGAAGAAAAAAAAAGTTTTTTGGCAGTACAGGATATTGAACCCAGCACATTGGCACTGAGCTACATCCCTAGCTCTTTTTTATTTTTTATTTTGAGAAAGGGTCTTGCTAAGTTGCCCAGGTTAGGCTCGAACTTTGCTATCTGCCTGCCTCAGCCTCCCAGAGGGCTAGGATTACGGGTGTATGCCACCATGCCTGTCAATAATTTTTTTAAGTATTGTCTCAGCCCTGGCCAGACACACAAGTATTCTAGGCTGTCTAGAGATGGACAGACACGTGTTGCTGCTGAGAGGAGTGAACAAAGCATCAAAGATGGACCCTGGAGTTATCAGCTCTAGATCACTCTCGCCCAGAGAGAGTCCCTCCGGACAGTTCACAGCACCAGTTCTCTAAGACTGGAGGACACTGACCACAGGTTCCAGAAAAATATCCAGTTGATCGCACTCCTAACCATTAAACCTGACTCCCAACATCCCTCCTCTCAACCATATGCCTTCTCTTTGACTTCTCCAGTCCTTCTAGAAGGGAAGAAACTATTCCTCCTGGTCTCTCTCTGCTCCTCCTCCCACCAAGAACCACGAGAACAACTTCAGAATTAATTATCATTCTGGCCACATGAGACCAGGAGATCTGTGTTTTAAGCTCCATGCAGACCCCAGCTATGCTGACTGATGTAAACAACTTCCCCAGGTCTCTGGCAGCAGGGGCTGCAGGCCTGGGGAAGGGTGCTGTCAACAGGAAGGCACTGGTGCAGGCAGGGGCAGGGGCAGGGTGGGCCTCACCTCCTTGTGCCCTTGGATCTGAGAGTTCACGAAGGCCCCGAGGATGTGGGAGGTGAGGGGAAGATACACGTGGACCAGTTGCGTCTCCTGATGCAGGCAGTACAGGGAGAAGTAGTTGCGAAGCTCCATGGTCTGGATCACATTCTCTTGCTACAAGGAAAAGAGACCCCTGTGCACCTGGGCCAGCAGATACCAGAAAGAGGAGCCCTGAGGCCCACATACACTACCTGCCTGAGCCCAGGCTCAGCAAAGCTCCAGGGAACCAAGGGTCAGGGCCACAGCACCGTGAATGGGAGGGAAGCACATCCCTGGGGCAGCTGGGGCGCTGACACTACACAGACACATCCTGCCCACCACCCTACCTCCACAATGCGGGACTCGAGCTGCTCCACAGACTCGGGCTCACAGTTCTGTGCGGTGGCAGTCATCATCTGCCTCTTCATCAGCCCGTACTTGTGCAGGGCCCGCTGGTGCTTGTGCAACACACCCTTCTCATGCCGCTCGCACAGGTCCTGCGGGGAGGAACATGCACTTGCCACTGCACCTACCCAGAGGGACCCAGCACCAAAGCACAGTCTGGAGTCCTTCCCACTGCACCAACTTTAGGATCTCCCACCTTCCACAGGAGGAAACACCAAGGGAGAGGGAGGAGGCAGGGACACAGCAGTAATGAGCTTCTGGACAAAGGGCTGTCCACACTGCACTCATCCTCAATCAGGAAACAGCCAAGAAGGAGAGTAGTTCAGGGCCAGGCCCTGCTCAGACCCAGGGACACATGCTAGTTTGAACACCCCAGGCCCCAAAGCAAAATCTTATGTACAATAAGCCCAGGTTAGAAGGAGAGTGGAGTCCAGAGCCAGGATAGTTCTGGACCTCAGACTACAAACGCTACCCGGTTCCAGAGAGCAGGTGTCTGGTCAGCAGAAGACAGGGCAGCCCTGAAAGGAAGACTCACTGGCATCAAAGGGTGGGACTGTAAACAACCACATCAGAAACCTCAAGGGAATCAGGATTAGCCTCTAGAAGCCACAGAGTGGGATGCCTTCTAGAACGTTCTCCATAAGCAGGAGCTGGCTTGCCTTGAGTACCACCATGGGAAGGAGTTGCTCTGTGGGAAGGAGTCCCTGGCTCCACAAACCACCTGTCACAATTCATCTTGTTACAGATGCTCTGCTCAGAAGGCTTCCCCTGTCCTGAGCTGAGGGTGTGTCGGGAGCAATGCTACATAATTTCAGGGAAAAATCATTTGATTAGGCGTAGTTCTGCCTACAGCCAGCTATATCATTTCTAGACATAATTCCATTCTGGCCTCCGGTCACAACTGAGACCTCAACAATCCCGAGATGTGGTGTCGCTCCAGGGCAAGACCACACCGGCGACCACACCTGCCCACACCTGCCCACACCTGCCCACACCTGCCCACACCTGCGGGAGACATACTGGGAGGAACCAAATCTTCACCTGCATAGTTCCTCATTGATCTAGGAATTACGCCACTCCCCAGTCATCAGTTACATTTGTTTCTCCCGAAGTACTGAATAAAAGGTAAGGCAAGCTGGAGGGCTTTTGTCTTTGCCCCCCAGAGCAGCACTGATCAGGCCCAAAGCTCAGCTTCTTCTCAAAGTCTTATTTTTTCTACCTTTTGTGTATAATAAGTTAATTCACCTTGTGCTGCCATGGCTCACAGGAGACTAGCACTTACTGCAGAGGTCAAGTAATGTCCCCTTTCCCTGTTCCCTACAAGGGTGACCTCCTGGAAGCTCCATCTGCTCCTGGGTGAATTCCCTTCCTGCTTCCCTTCCAGGCCGCCCAGATTCTGAAGGAAAACCCTGATATTCAGTCAAATACACACACACACACACACACACACACACACACACACACACACACACACGCAAGGCTTCTCATGCCCTGGACAAGCACCTCCCACTCTCAACAAGGGTGAAGCTGTAGGGTCGCAGGCCAGCCATGGGGAAACATCAGCAGGCCATGAAAGACCCATCCTCCCTGCACGGCCCCGGCCCTCTACACCTCACAGTCCTCAGTCACACCCTTGAAGGATCACTCTCAAAAGCTCTGTCTCTGTCCCTGCCCACAGAACAGCCCAGACTCACTTTATAGGCCTGAAGCAAATCCAGAAAAAGGTTCAGCTTCTCCACCACATCATTCTCTTCCTGTTTGCCCTAGGAAACAAGGGTGAGGTATTCAACACAGATCCACACAGGACTTGGGACCGCCGGGGAGCCCCTGCTGTCCACACCTTGGTGGTCTCGTCTTTCCAGAGCCACCAGCTCATGCTGTAAAAGAGGCCCCTTTCTGCATGACTCTCCCACCCCAAAGTGTCTAGGCAGAGACACTTTGAAACCCAGCAGTTCTGACAGGGACAGGGCAGCACTTCCTCTGCTCCGCTCTCCCCATACTGTTGTGTCTTCTTTCAGCTTTCTGTGACCAGTGTCTCACCACACACACACACACACACACACACACACACACACACACGCACACTCCAGTATCACTGGAGGCTGTGGCTATGTCCAAAGAGGCACAGCTGAGAGAACTGGTCCTTTACTAACAGGGACAGAATGCAGGTCTAGGCAGGGCGTGAGGGGAGAGACACAGCTGCAAAAAGGATGTGTCTCTGGAGAGGTGCGAGCAGGTCAAGGGAACAGTAATAGTCTGGCTCCTTGATGGACAAGGGAGACAAGAAAGGGCCACGTGCAGATGGCCAGAGCAGGGGAGGAAAGGGGGCAGACTAGGGTCCCTGTCACTCTGGTTCAGGCAGCAGGGCAAGGGTAACCAAGAGACAGGTGCTGATGAGCCCGTAGCACACAGGCCTTCATGTTAACAAAGGAAAAACCCAGCTCTGGGACTTGTCCTCAGCATCCTGGGGACACAAGTGACCACCACTGCCACACGGAGATTGCCCTGGCCTCCCAGTGCACATGCAGTAGCAGGTCACCCCAGAAGCCGCGTGTCACATAGGTGAGAGGGATGGTGGGCCAAAGGAGACAGGGGACAGAGAAGAGTGTGTGGAAACACAAGCACCAAACTGGAGCTGCAGCTACCTCCAGTGACCCAGGATACCCCTCCCACCCTCTAGGCCTCAGTCTGCAGAGCCAGAAGGTTTCTGCCACTCAGTCCCATGCCTACAGATTCTAGCCAGCAAGCTCCAGGGAGTAAGAAGTGTGTTAAGGCGTTCCAAACATGAAAACACATCAGCTGATGCGGATGGTAGGAAAGGGGACCTGAGGTCCTCCCTTCCCATGTTTGTAACCAAGGCCAACTTGTGGTTCAGCACACAAGACCCCAAGCTATCAACACATGCTTTTAAGAAAGGCATACCATAGCCGGCCATTGTGGTACACATATGTAACTGCAGCACTCCAGAGGCTGAGGCAGGACAAACATAAGTCCAAGCCTAGCCTGAAAACTTGGTGAGACACAGTCTAAAAATTTTTAAAGGGCTGGGGATACAGCACAGTGTGAAGACCCTGGGTTCCATCCCTAGTACCACACACACACAGAAAAAGGTCCACAGTGTCATTACTGTAGAAAGAGCTGCCCCTGCTCCAAACCTCACTGGTCATGCTGGTGTATCTATATCTCCTAACAGGTATGAGGAGAACAAGACTAGTGAGTAAAACAGGAATTAGGAAAATAGCCCCAGGGTGCCTTCATTGTACAGCAGGGGAGGGTTGGAATTTCAGCTGATCAAAGTCCTGATCCAGTTTCTGTAAAAATTCTATTAATTTCACTACAATCAAAGACAGGAATACTGAGGAAGCAGAACTTCTCCAGACATTAAGTATCAAAAGGGAATTCATGAAACATCAAAGAGCCACAGGGCTAAGAAGAACCTCATGTGACAAACTCCCCACCATGCTGGAAGCATGGGTCTCCTCTCCTTCGTCAAGGTGAAAATGCGGAATGGAAAAGGCCTGGGACATCTGATGGTCAGGAGTCCCCGCAACCTGCTGGAGGTTCCCTGCAGAAGGTTCGCCAGGGCCTGGGTCTCTGTGACAGGAATGATTTGGATTTTGTTTTACATATGAACCTGGAGGAAAAGTTCAAATTAAAAGAAAATGGTTGGGGCTGGGGATTTAGCTCAGTGGTTCCACCGCCTGCCTTGTAGGCACAAGGACCTGAGTTCCATCCCCAGTACCAAAAAAAAAAAGAAAAGAAAATGGTTTCTTAATGATCTAGTCCAGCCCCTTTGTATTCCACTGATGAGGAAACTGAGGCTTAGAGCTCAAAGTAACTGGAGCAAGATCACAGTACAGACACTGCAGAGTGCAGGTCCCTGCCCCAGTACCCGTCTTTCCACCCAGCCAAACTCTGGCTCCTCTCCGCCTTGGAAAAGGGGCACCCACAGACCTGGGAAAGGAACAGCACCCAATACCACCACCCTAAACTCAGTTTCTAAAGGGAGCACACAGGTACCAGGAGCAGAAGAAAAAGAAAAAGGATTTTCCACACCAGCAGAAATCAAAATCTCTCTTCTGTGTGAACACATTATCAGCATCTGAGCACCCAACCCCCAGCAAAGCCCCCAAACAGCCAGCAGGTAGTTCCAGCACACAGACAATGGAGCTCCACAGCCTGGCCAGGGACATTAATTTAGTTATAACTATCTATTAGCAGCTTAAAGACCATTTCCCCAAAAAATAGGCAACAAGCTGATACCCTCAAAATTAGGTGACAGCTTTATCACATAAGCCCCAGGCGAGCCTTTAAGTTTGACAGTAACTACCGCTTCTTCAAATGAGTCTCCAATGACTACCAGACTCTTTGCAGATTTCTAAATACAGATCCTGCTGAATAGCAGCAGCACTTCCTGAGGTTAAGAGGATGTCAGGGTAGGAGGAAGAGGGGACCTCTGGATGTCAAGTGGGAAGGGGTAGGAGGAGACTCTAGATATCAGTGGAAGGAAGACAGAGCCTCTTGAGTGCTGAGAGCTTAGTTATTATTCTGATGAGTTAAGTTACCCTGTCATTCTGCATAATGGGTACTATGTGGCCCACCCAGAAGTATGCTCTGGAGCCCATGATTACAGTTTCAAGGACAGATTTCAAGCCAAGCAATCCAGCAAGTCCCTGTCTCAAAAAATAGGCTGGAAATGTAGCTCAGTGCAAAGACCTTGGGTTCAATCTCTAGAACTACAAAGGGAAAAAACAAATTCCATTTTCTAATCTCAGCAAAGTCAGCACTCAAGAGACCAGAACCCAGTGTGTCTGCTGCGTCCCTCACAGCCCTCTCCCAAGCATACCTGGCTCGTAGTGACCCAGAACAGATGGGGACGGACAGTACCTCCTCACAGGGGGTGGTGATCACTCAGTGCTCAGGACTGTGGGTGCACAGCAAGAGGCACTCCCTCACTGAGAGACAGCACTTCCTGCACAGGGGACAGATGCTGTGGAGGAGGCAGCCACTCACCTGTTGCGCAGCTTTGTCTGCCAGCACCGCGAACTCCACAGACAGGCCCTTCAGAGCCTGCTTCAGCGAGGCCCAGGTGCTCAGGTGCAGAGTGGCCCAGGAGGGCAGTGGGGTCGTGTCAGACCCTAAGGCACTGCGGGAAGTGAAGCACATAGGCAGGAGACACTCAGCATGTCCTGCCCTCAGCCTCAGCTCCTAAAGGGGCCCAAGGGACATGGAGAGCAGAGAGGAAGGTGGGATGCAGGGCCCCATCCCAAGTAAAACTGAGACAGAGGGGAGAGCGTCCTGTGCCCCTGCAGACAGAGGGGGAGCCCTGCCAACCTCAGGCACTTCCTTCTCAAGAAGAATGAGCCGTGTCACCATCTAATCCCTACACAGGAAAGACTACAGTGTGGGAGGCTGGCAAGAATCTACACGGTCCAGCTGAAGCCCCCAGCTTTTCCTCCTGCCTATGATGCCCCACTGGCCTGGCCCACTTTGGCCATTCCTATGGGAATCTGGTGTGCCCACAGCCCGCCACCACCTGGAGACTCTGTCGCCACAGACCACAGGGCCACCTGCCTCAACTCCTTCCCAAATATGAGAAGATCGGCTGCATTGTCAATGGCCCTGGACGCAATCCGCTCGGCCCGGTCCCGCAGCTTGTAGAAGCTGTTGTAGAGGTTGCGAATGAGCTCCCGGCTCATGGCGAACTGAGTCTGGATGTCAGGTGGGAGGAAGTCCTGCGGGATGAGAGGAGACAGTGGGTGGCCTGGGCATGAGACAGGCAGAGCCTGGCTTCAGAACCACTGAAAGAGGGTCAAATGAGAATGGGCAGTGCATCTCACATGATCCCTGGCACACAGCAGGGCAGAATGACACCAGGCAGTGTTAAAATTACTATGTCTGTAGTTAAGAGGGGAAAAAATACTCAAGAGCAGAAACCTACCTTGGCTCTAGTAGCCACCTTACAGTTCAGGAATTCGTCCCCAACACCCTGGGCTGCTTCCCTAAGCTTATTCTGCACATCCTGCAAGAGGAAGGAGAGAATTACACTTTGTTTCCAAAGCACAAATCCTGACACCAGGCCACTGCAGGGCCATCGTGTCAGTAAAAACCAGCAGTGTCCCTTGTGAAGGGAGATCCCCTTCCCTGTGTCTGCTTTGCCCTCAGAATTCCAGAATCCCTTTGCTGTCGCTTAGATTTTCTTTAGTTGAATGTTAACCGCAGGAAAGCCTGACCTAGTGACAGTGTTTTGCCCTAGCTCTGGGCCAAAACAAGGCTTTTCCCCAATAACAGCCTCCATCCACCAACAAAGGGCAGCACTGTCACCACCAATGAGGGACAGTACAATTCGTCAGACCCTTCAGGATCCAAAAGGAGAAGCCAAGACATCTTCCTGTGGACAGACTTCGAGCCAGGGAGCCCAGGCCAAGGCAGCTGACAGGCAGAGCAAGGGCAGAGGAAGGACACCCCCTGGTCTCGAAGCCCAGCCCTCTGAACAGAAGCCTCCTGGGCAAAGCCAACCTTAAATATAAGGAGTGTTTAAAAAAATAAATAAATAAAAATAAATAAATTGAGGAATTCTGGAATTTCAGATGTGCCCTGAGGATCATCGGCCTCAATTTTCTCATTTTAACAAACAAAAGAAAACTGAGGTAATACCCTACACCTGTAATCCCATCACTATAGAGGCCGAGGCAGGAGGAGCCCAAATTTGAGCCCAGCCTGGGCAACTTAGCAATTTACCAAGACGCTTTCTCAAAAGTAAAAATATAAATAAGGACTGGGGATATAGCTCAGTGTGAAGGCCCTAGGTTCAAGGTTCAATCCCCAGTACCACAAAAAAAGAAAACCAGAAAAAATTCACACTGCCCAGGGGATGTCTGTAATCATAGCACCGAGGAGGCTGAGGAGGATCATCACAAGTTTGAGGCTAGCCTGGGCTACATAGTGAGTTTAAGACCAGCCTGAACTACATAGTGAGACCTTTTCTCAAAAAAGAAAGAAAGAAAGAAGGAGAGGAAGGCAGGCAGGCAGGCAGGCAGGCTGGCTGAGGTCCAAGGTGGTTACAGGGAATAGCCTATCCATGGAAAGGTGGAGGACAACGAAGCTTAACACCATAGAACGGAGGCAGCAGTCCCGCTCTGTATCCCACTTCCCTGTCCTCTGCCTGCAACACAGTAGCTCCCAGGTCCTGTCACATTCCGTCTCTGGTGATCGAGACTTCTGCTCCACCCCCTGGGCTCAAAAGGCCACACTCCCAGGCTGGGGATTTAGCTCAGTGATTCTGCCGCCTGCCTCGCAAGCACAAGGTCCCGAGTTCAATCCCTGGTACAAAAAAAAAAAAAAAAAGCCACAGTCCCTGCTGAGGCAGAGGCTTACAAGTATCTAGTGACTGTCTGCTATGGGTTAACAGATGTCCAGGGTGTCACAAGGGAAAGCCTGAGGACTTCCTACAGAGGTCAGAGGAATGGAAGCAATGCTCAGGCTGACTGCCTGGGTCCTGTGCTCCCGACCCTGCAGCCTGTAAGGGGCAGTGGGAGGGGCCGGGTGGTTCCTACTGGACTATGCCCGTGTCCTGTGTCCTGTGTCCTCTACCCTACAGCCTTGTATGGGGTATGGTGCAGGCAGCCCCCAGTGGACTCGCCTGTGTTCTACATCCCCTGTCCTGCACCCTGGCAAGAGGTGGGGGGAGTGGGTCCTAGTGGACTCTGCCTGTATCCTAAATCCCCTCCCTGTAAGCCTGGTAATGGGCAGTGTATAGCTGTTCCCAGTGCCCATCCAAGAAGGGGTCCCTACAACATGGTTTCCTTCCGACTGGGAACTCCCCTTCTGTACCCCACCCTGGTGGGAAGAAGGCTCCATCCCTGAACCTCCCTGCCTGAAAGGGCTGGCAGCTCCCCCCACTCCATTGGGAAGAGGAGCTCAGCTTCAGCTCTCGGCTCCCACTAGGCTGTGGACAGCAGCTTGAAGAAAGGAACTGCTAATCTAACTCCTGGAAAATGTGCGTGAGGACATCTCCCAGTCAAGGATCTACAACCCAGCTCTGCTGAGGCAGCTCAGCTGTTCCTTCAGTGATTCTCAGTCAAAAGGGGCCTTTTTCTTCTTTCTTTCAGTAAATACAGTGGACCCCTGACTTACAAACTCAGTTCATTTGCTCAAGCTGATTGTAACTGAAGTTGGTCAATGAAGGCTCAGGCTCCTCTACACAGCCTTCAAAGTCTCTCTCCTGTATACAGGCAGATCTCAGGGTCCTTAGAGAGACACTGGCCCAGGATTTCTCAATAACCCCACACAGGAAAGGATGGTGTAATGTTCCTTCCAGAACTCTTTAAGGGTTAGATCTGTATCTAAGACCATCTGGAAGCACAAGTGACTGGCATTCGGGTCATAATTCAAGACTTTGGTCATAAGTTACAACTAACATTCTGGTAGTAACCCAAGCTGCTCATATATCAAGCTAGTTGTAACTCAAGGGTCCACTGTACTTAGTCACATCTGCAATCTCTAGTTCATCCAAAGACCCTCCAAACCATCCACTGTCTGTATATCAACTCTAAACTCCCAAAGCAAACACAATTCCACACCATACACAAAATCCTCCATAGTCAAAACCAAAGATGTCTTTAAAAATTGTAGCCAAGCCTCTACTTGGAAAGGAAGAAAGCCATGCACTATTGATCACAATGAAATGAACTCTTTCCAGGAGTCCAAACAGGAGGAGAGGGACAGAAAGGAAGGAAAAGGAAAGCAACTTGAGAAGGAGAATGAGCTCCAGAAACCTCAGAACCCAGCCCACGTGGGACCCATCACAGAACAGGGACACTTACTGGGCCATTGAATGAGAGGAACAGCCTGAGGGTGGCATCCTCAGAGAACGGGGGGTGCCTGGCCACCAGGTTGATGAAGCGCTTCAGGGCCCTCCTCCGGCCCTCGATGAATTCCCTGTCGGCTAAAGAAGGGCACAGGGTCACCACACAGAGTCAGCCTCACTGAGAACGCAGCCTCCACACAGGCTCCCAAGCACCTCAGCAGCGGACTTCCAGGAAGATGGCGGATTGGTGAACAGCAGAAAAATAGCCTCTCCGAGATTTGGTGTCCTGACACTGGAGTATAGTGGAAAGACAAAGAGAAGGGGGGAAGTGGGTCCCCAGGACCCAGGAAGGATCTGGAGTGGGAACTGAAGCCCCACAGGAAGAGCAAAGAGAGAGACTTCGACGAAGAGAAGGGAGATGGCAGATAGCGCTTTCACCCAGAGCCCAGACTCCCAGCATGGGAAGAGTGGCTTGAACCTACAGATGCATGGTGACTACTGACAACCCCAGAGGTCTTCACGGAGAAATGCACCAGTGGAACAAAGCAGTGGACACAGTAGATTGCAGTAGCTGGTGAGTTATTTGGGTTCAGATGTCCCCCAGGAGGGGGCAAGGGGCCAGTAGCCATCTTGGAGAGGGACAAACTGAACTTGGAACTCAGAACATCTGCAGGCTGCCTCCATCTAGTGGCTCCTGGTTTGGCAGTAAGGGTGCCAAGTTCAAGTTAGCAAGAGGGACACGGACTGAACAAACTGAGTTCTAGCTTCATAGCCAGAAACCAGCCTGAACTTCAGTGGAACTAAAGGTGCAGGCATAATGGGATTATCCACTATCCTGCCATAAAGCCTATGGCTGGCTTGCTGGGATTAATCACCTCATATCTGGACTCTATCTGCCCACGATGTCTACCAGTGACAGCAGAGACACACCTTGAATTGGACATTCTTTTTCCTTTTTAAAAAAATTTTCTTCTTTTTCTCTTTTCTAGTTTTTGTTCTTGTTTGTTGAGACAGGGTCTCACTCTGTAGTTTGCACTGGGTTTACACAAGCTATTGTAGCCCAGGCTGGCCTCCAACTCATGGCGATCTTCCTGCCTCAGCCCCCCAAGTGCTGGGATTACAGGCATGCGCCACCATGCCCAGCTTTGTTTTTGTTTTGTTTTTGTTTTTATATGAGCGTGAACACAGTCTCTAGTGTTTTATTGTTTGTTGCTTTGTTCTTGTTTTTATTTTTTCCTTCTCTCTTTCCCTCCTGTCTTCTTTACCAGTTTCCCAACGTTTTCAGGATCTTCCTTTGTCATCTAGCCTTGCTTTTAATCTCTTCCTCAATTTCTACCTCTCTATTCCCCCTTCTAAACCCCTTTTAAATCTTCTCCCCTAAGGGTAAAATCCTCATATTGAAGGCTTATTTATTGCATACAATTTTCTGTTGCATTTTACATTTTCTTATATAACCACAAATACATTTCATACGGTTAAAGGTGTCAAATTAATAGTTACCACAGTTGGTCATTTTCTCTGCTGTTTGATGCTGTTGTTATTGCTGATTATACTACTTTAGCCAAGGTGACATAATTGTGTTAATCAGTGTTTCCTCCTGGTATACAAGACTGAGATTGCCTAAGGGTCTTAAAAAATACTATAGGCCAGGCCAGGGATTTAGCTCAGTGGTTCCACCGCCTTCCCCGAAAGCACAAGGACCTGAGTTCTATCCCCAGTAGCAAATAAAAAATTTAAAAATTTTAAAAATACTATAGGCCAGTGCCCAAGAACCAGGTACTGGGCCAAGTAGGTAGCAACTTCCCATCCCCAATAAATTGATGAGGTAGGATCTCGCAGCAGACTCAAAACCCAAAAGACATCTCTTGGAAGACACCTCTGAGAAGTAGTCATTTCCTATGGGTTCTGAATACTGCCAAGTGCCTCAGCAGCAAGGTAAGCACAGCCCTGTAGCTGGCCCAGGGGCACTGCACAGGCCACACCCAGACAAGACTCCGGGGGCACAGAGGAGCAACAGAGGCCCACTTCAGTGACCCCACCCATCATCTTGGGGTTCAGGACTCCCAAGGAGAAGTGAGATCTATCAATTTCAATCAAGACTATTGGGCCAGATATGGTGGCAGAACCCCAGTAATTCCACCTCCTCAGGAGGTTGAGGCAGCAGGACTGCAAGTTTGAGGCAACCTTGGGCAACTCAGTGAATGAGACCCTGCCTCAAAATAAAAAAAGAGCCAACCCCAGTGGTACACGCTTGTAATCCCATTACTCCGGGAGGCTGAGGCAGCAGGATCAAAAGTTCAAGTCCAGCCTAGGCAATTTAGAAACTTAGTGACTAGTGTCTCAAAGAGGGGGTAGGTCTGGGGACATAGGTCAGTAGTAGAGTGCTTGCCTAAATGTGCAGGCCCCTGAGTTCAATCCCCAGCACCACATAAACACATTAAAAAAAAGACTACTGGTAGCCGGGGATGTAGCTCAGTGGCACCGCGCCTGCCTGGCAAGCTCAAGGTCTTGAGTTCAATCCCCAGTACCAAGAAAAAAAAAAAGACTACTGGTATCCTGGTTTCATGTATGTTTTTGTTTGTTGACTATATTTTCAGGATAGCCTCAAACTCCTGGGCTCAAGTGATCTTCCTGCCTCAGCCTCCCAAATAGCTGGCCCATAGGTGTATACCACCATGTCTGGCTTTTGGGAATCCAGTCTGATTCCTCACTCTGATCATCCACATTGAAGGCATCCTCTACAATCCCTTTCTGGGACTTCTATCTATGAACAAATGTGTTTTGCTATCCTGATAAATAACACAGCTTAGGTTCTTGATTCGCATCACTTATAACTTCATTCTGTAATTGATCTAATTATTAACTGCTGTTATTTGAAGGAAATATTTTCACTCCAGGAGAAAAGTGTCTTGCTGCATTAAGAAGTCAAATTGGACCACAAACAGAAACAGTCTTTAAAATACTGTAAGTTATTGAAAAATACAGTCAGATGAAGCCACCTTCCTCCTCAAGACGAGTTGTCGTCCTGTGTCAAGGCTGCACTTATGTAAACTCTGGGTCCCAGACTATGAGGCTGCATGTGATTAATCAGCTGATTGCAATTAACTAGCTCTGATGTGGGGTGTGAACAACATCACTTCTCCCCTACCCAGTTTCTGCTCTCACCACTCTTAGCATTTCTTGTCCTGTCACCATAAGGGGCACAGCCTATTCCACAGTGCGCGGGTGAGGCAGGAAAAACACCTTATTATCAGACACTGAGAGCGGACACTGTGAGTAATTATGTCCACAGTAAGAGACTTCAGTACACCAGAAATTGGACCGTGGAGAATTCTCAAGTTTTGTCCCCTCAACCCCACACCTGCTTCAGGATGGCTGGAAAATGGCAGAAAGTGAGCTGGCTGGCTTTGGGCACTGGCCTACCCCCAAGTTTATTCAGATTTACAGAAAAGAGCTACAGGAGAGAAAACCAGTGAGATCCCTGTGCTCTGGAACCCTGTGAGGAAAAGGCCAGTCTAGGAGGCCTGCAGGCTGCCCACGACCTCCCATCTTGCCCGGTGTAATGTTCCAGTGCCACAGGAAGATGTGGCGCCCAACTGCAAGGTTTCACCTCCCGTGAGATGGAGCTTGGATTCCAGCTTACATGTGTGCCTGTCGTCTTCCAGGAGTCCTCCTAATGCAGCTCACCACCCTCTGCCTGGGGTTGAGGGACTTTGTGAAAGCATAAGAAACCAACTTCGATCCCATGAGCAAACAGGGGTCCTGGCCACCCTCCCAGAGCTCTGGAGGGCCTGGTCCCGACCCTGGAGAGACCGGGTTCCTTCTCTCACACTGGCATGAGGAGGGCCTCCCTACATGTCAGTCGTCCAGCCAGAAGGCTCCGGTGGGCCAAGAGTGACCGGGACTCAGCCACAGCGGTGACACCCTGATGGCCAAGGCAGCCAGCCCATCCAGGAATCAGGGCAAGACCGATGTTCCATCTGCAGTGGGTTCCATCACCAAGCCATCCTGGTAGGTGGCTCACTGTCACCCACACCTGGGCCCCAAAATCCTGCTTACCTCCCAGCACTCTCTTGGGCGGAAGGGCTGGCACCATTCGGTACGGGAACCTGTGCAGCAGCATTTCATGGAAGACCACGAAGTCATTGTACCGACGGCATACGGAGATCTTGAAGCGCTGTGAGGAGAGGTTCAGGGCTCAGCCTGGACATCACAGCCTTTGAGCATCCCCCTCCCCTTTCCTCCTGCCACTCCACAGAACCTGTACGCCCTCCTCTGTGCCCCAGTTCCTCATCCTCTCTCACCAGGCCTTCACTGGAAGGAGAAATCTTAGAATTCCTTCACTTCCAACATTCAACTGCTAATGTCTGGGTGGCTCTGTCCTGGCAAGACTCCCCAGGAGCTATTCCACTCGAGTGGGCCCTGCCCTTCCCTCCAAAGCCAGCACAGAACAGTCCTGCTTTCCCTGCCTCACTGTCAGCAGCACCAGCATCACTCCCGACTGCTAAACACATGAGCAGCCGTCCAAGCACAAACCGAGTGACTGCAACAGCAGATCCTGCACCATGACAGCCACCAGGTCAGGGTATGAGCAAGCCCCAGACTCACTAGAGTAACCTAACCTGGATCTGCTCTAAGAGCATGGACATGAGAAGGAACCTCAAACTAAATACACTGCCCAGTATGTGCGAGCCCTTGGGTTCAATCCCAAGCACAAGGGGAAAAAAAAATCTGGGAAGAAAAACTAAGTCAGATATGGTGGTGCATGCCTGCACTCTGAGAGGCGAGGTAGGAGGATCCCAAGTTTGAGCCCATCCTGGACAATTTAGCAACTTACTGAGACCCTATTTCAATATAAAAAATAAAAAGTGCTGGGATGTACCTCATTTTGAAGGCCCTGTATCCAGTCTCCAATACTGCTCCCCTCAAAAGCAAGAGGGATACAAAATATTAAGGCCAGTGTATCCACCTCTACCCAGGCCACACCTGTATTGCGCTGCCTGTGTTCAGGATTTACAACAAGCAGGGCACACAGAGGGAATTTACACCCAGCAGACTCCCCACAGGTCCACGAGAGCAGGTGGAGAGTCCACTCAGGTGGCCTAGGCACAATGCCCTCCTCCTACACGTTCACACCAGGCACCAACCTACTTAAGGAGTGGGCGGGCCAGGGCCAGGAGTCAAGGCCAGCTCAGAAGGATAGCAGCAGCTTCCCACCCCCAGGAAGTCGGGCCTGGGAGCAAGGCCTGGTGCTCTCCACCTTCGACCCCACACCAGCCTGGGCCCAGGACCCCAACTGCCAGGAGAAGGCAAACACATGATGCCAGACAGCTGTGCCATCCCTGAGGTGCTGCTGGAGTGAGCTTACTCCATCTCCGGCCCCTTCCCTTGGCAGCAGCACCCACAAACCTTAGAATGGTTTAGTCACAGGCCCTGCCACACTATGAAGCCAAGTGTGATGACGCACACCCGTAATCCCAGCACTCTGGGAGGCTGACACAGGAGGATCACAAGTTGGAGCCCTGCCTGAGTTAACTTAGTGACTTATCGAGACCTGTCACGAAATTTAAAAGGGGGCTGGGTGTATAGCTCAATGTGAAGGCCCTGAGTTCAATCCCAAGTAGTGCAAAAGAAAGAAATATAGCCAGCCATGGTGGCACACGTGTAATCCCAGGTGGCACAGTGTGATCCCAGCACTCAGGAGGCTGAAGCAGGAAGATTGCTGTAAATAGGCCAGTCAGATACATAGTGAGTTCAAGGCCAGCATGAACTACACACCAAGACCCTGACTCAAAATACAAAAAAAGAAAACTGGAGAGGAAGGGAAGGTACAAGGAGGGAGGGAGGTAGAGAGGGAATTAAATCTGGTGATTCTTGACACTACAAAATACAGCAGACAGTAGTGACAGATAAGCTGCTGGGACCCTGGACTCACCTTTCTCCAGGAATAATACTTGAGACATTCATGAAACTTTCCAGACAAACCCTGGTAGTGCCGGGCCACCTTTCCATTCAGGGATGCAGACCCTGCTCTGTCCTCACAAATCCATACACACACCAAGGATTACACCACTCCCATAGGGGTGCTCGCTTATCAATTACTGGGTTCCAGGATAAAGAAGAAAACTCTCTAAAATCTACCCTAACTAAACCAAGATACTGAGAGATAACGGACAAAGGGACAAAGACCAACACCGCCTACACAGCACAGGATGACACCTGAGTGCCACCTGCACCTGCTGCCACACTGCTGCACAGATGAGCTCAGACCCCTGCAGTGCCCAGCACAGGACACAGGTCAATCTCACCTGCAAACCTGACTGGCTACTTGGACTCCATACTCTGATCCTCAGAGATCCCCGGCATTGCTGAACTACCACACACTAGCCTGTGTCCAGGGTCTGTGCTCTGAGGTTGTCTACAAGAGACTCTCATGTACCCAGGCATGATGGCACATGCCTATAACCCCAGCACTCAGGAGGCTGAGGCAGGAGGACTGTGGTGAGTTTGAAGCCAGCCTGGGCTACATAGTGAGTTCAAGGCTAGCCTGAGCTACATAGCAAGACTGTGACTCAAAAAAAAAAATTCCCAGGAAACAAGATCTCCGGGCACAATGGAGGTGAGGTGGATTGGACCATGTGGCGGAGCTGGCACTGGCTGATGCCAGGTGCAAGGACCAAAGTCTATGCTGCAGGCTGATGGTGCCCCCAGGGCATGGGCCATACCTCTGAGCCAGAGGCACGGACCCTCTCCCCTCCCACCACCTTGGCCTGGGCCCTACCCACCCTACCCTGCTCATCACCCCACAGCTATACAGCTGGCAGTACCTGGCTGGACACCTCATACTCCACATGCTTCAAGAAGAGGCCCTTCTTCTCCGGGATGAGCTCCACCTGCACGCTGTCCCTGGCCAGCAGCTCCTGCAGGGTGTAGGGCAGCAGCAGCGGGTTCCCCTGGGGCATCTGCATCGATCCCCCCGACTCGATGACTGGGAGAGCTGGCGAGCCTGCAGGAGAGAAGACACATGCCCACTGACGGCGGTTGCTCGGAACTCAGAGTCTCCCACACCCTGCACCAGGCTCAGCATGTGGACGCTGGCCCCAGATCCTCACTCAGCAGCCACATAGTCAGGGCCAATGGGTGTGTCCCCTGCTGGAAAATCACCCACTACCAGGAGGCTTCACCTGTTGTACCCCTACACATTTCACATTCACCTGACCAAGTCAAATCTAGTTTTCAACGTGGGAGTCAGGAGACAAGGTGAAATATTTATAAATTATGTGCAAATCAGAGTCTTCCCCATGAGGAATGTCATTATTATGCACTGCAAACATGTACTAATAGAGGGCCAGGGATTTAGCTCAGTGGCACCGTGCCTGCCTCGCAATTGCAAGGTCCTGAGTTCGATCCCTGGTACAAAAAAAAAAATGTACTAATAGAAATGAAAATTGAAACAAAAAGACTCTTTTCAATGGAGCCAAAAAGAGGTTCAAACAAAGGAATGTAATTTCCATATATCCCAGTGTCTCTACAACTACACACTGTTTTCAAAGGCCAAATAACGTGTGAATCTGAAAAAAAAACAAAAACAAAAACAAAAACCTCTAGCACTCTGGGAAGCTAAGGAAGGAGGATCACGAGTTGGAGCCCAGACTGGGCAACTGAGCAACATCCCAAGATCCTGCCTCAACATTTAAAGAGGGTTAGTGCGGTAGCTCAGCACAAAGGCCCTGAGTTAAATCTCCAGTACTGGGGGAAAAAAATACTCCCTATGTGCATACAGCTGGGAGTCATACAAACCAAAAACTCATAATATAGCCTCCTTATGGAGACATTGCTCCCACATCATTCACAAAGCACAGAGCAGAGAGACACTACAGAGAGATTTGATTTGTTGCCTCATGGCTTGCTGCAAGATAAAACAACCACCTAAGGAAATGAGGTTTACAAGTCAGTTCAGCTTTCGGTACAGGGAAGAACAGAAATAGAAAAATGCTCTTGCTGGGTATGGTGGTGCACACCTGTAATCCCAGTACCCAGGGAGGCTGAGGCAGGAGGATCACAAGTACACGCCAAGCCTGGGCAACTTAATGAGACCTTGTATCAAAATGAAAATACAAAAAAATGGTCGGAAATGTCACTCAGTGCAAAAGCCCTGGGCTCAATCACCAGTACTACTAACAAAATAAAACAAACACAAAAACATTCTTTGCAGTTAAAAGGAACAAAGTGAAGGTGAGAAGGAAATAGCGCTGCTATGAGCAGAGCATGCTCTGGGTTCCCTTCTCTGCTCCCCTGACGGTCTGCAGTGGTTGCCTCATACCCATGATTCGTTTTTTTTTTTTTTCTTTTGGTACTGGGGATTGAACTCAGGACCTTGTGCTTGTGAGGCAGGCACTGGAACTACTGAGCTAAATCCCCAGTCCTTACCTGTGATTCTTAAAGGAGCTCTCGGCGCAGTGCTGGCAATATTCTAAAGCCGATGGTGCCTAGGTTCGGTGTGAATGACTCAGCATTCCAGGATTTTAAAATGGCTGTGTTTCCTGCCCTTACAGCTTAAGAAGAAAATAAAGGAAAGCTGTAAGGTTGACCTGGGAACACCAGAGGCCTCATCAGCCCCTGCTGCAGTCTCCCTGTCACGCTCTGTGCAATGACCTCTCCCAGGTGGGCCAGAAGGGCCAGTGCAAAGGCACAGGCACCTTCAGACACCAAGTCTCACCTTTTCAAGCCACCGGCTTCTGCTGGAATCCGAATCCACACAACACCACAGCAGAGCAGCTCACACACGCAGCTTGTGCAAATGTGTGCATGTGTATGCCTGTGCACATGAGGGTGTATGTGTGGGTGTTCCTCAGTACACCCATGTATGTGTGTAGGGGTGTATGAGCGTGTTGTGAGTCTGTATTTGTGTATGTATGCACATGGGTATTTGACTATGTACAGATCAGTATGAGTGTGTATTTGAGTGTGTTTGTGTAATTTGTGTAAATGTGTATATGTGTGTTTGTGCATGTATAAGTATGCTGCAGTATATCTGAGTGTGTTAATTTGTGTGTTACTGAGTATTTGTGGATGAGTGTATCTGAGTGTGTATGCATGTGTATTTGTATATATACGTGTGTGTGTGTGTGTGTGTGTGTCCAGTGTTTTAACAGCACATGTGTGTGCAGACTCAGCTCATCAGGGCCCAGGTCTCCAAGTCACCCAGGAACCCAACTCCTTTCCACATAAAGTATCTGACTGTTTCACAGACTCCTTTAGGGTCAGGAGTGTCCCCATCACTGCCCTGGCAGCACAGTGATAAACAAGGCTCTCTGATGTGTCTGTCTACCCTGCTGGCAGCTACTGAGCATCCGGCCAGCAGGTGCAGGGTACACACAGCTACGGCCCAGGCACCTGGCTGGCGCAGCATAAAGAGCACTGGAGAAGCCCAGGACGTGGCCCTGGAACGCAGCCCCACCAGGCAGATGGTCTGCTTTATTCTCTGATGCACACAGATTCCTGGGAGTGCAGCTCAAGGGGCATTTGCTGAATGACTACTTGCTACTATTCAATTTTTTTTTCCCTGATACTGGGGATTGAACTGAGGACCTTGTGCTCACGAGGTAGGAGCCATGCACTACTATTCAACTTTTAAGAATAAAAAACAGGGCATCAGCTGGGTGTGATGGCACACACCTATATAATCCCAACTACTGGGAGGCTGAGGCAGGCAAGTTTAAGGCCAGCCTGGGCAACTTATCAAGATATGTCTAGAAGTAAAAATTTTTAAATGGGTAGGGATGTAGCTAAGTGATAGAGCACCTGCCTACCATGTGCAGAGCCCTAGGTTCAATCCTCAAAAAAAAGAGCATTTCTGGGCCAGGCATGGAATCATTCCTATAAGACCAGCACTCAGGAGGCTAAGGCAGGAGGATTGCTGTGAGTTCAAGGCCAACATAGGGTACATAGAGAATTCAAGGCCAGAAACCTGGTAGCAAAAAAAAGGCTGCACCCACATGTTCACTGGATCAGTGTGCAAAACAGTCAGAAAGCAGAAAAAACAAAATCCAGCAAGTGACAAAGGAATAAATAAATCATGATGCATCCATACAATGGCATGCTACTCGGCCTAAAAAGGAATGAGCGAGAGTCATACTGCAACATGGATGAACCTTAAAAGTGTGAAGCTGATGGGCCAGGGATTTAGCTTAGTGGTGCTGCTCCTGCCTCACTAGCGCAAGGTCCCAAGTTTGATCCCCGGTACCAAAAATAAAGTGTGAAGCTGAGAAGAAAGAAGATCATAAAAGATCAAGTCCAACCAGCCGAGGTGACACATGCCTATAATCACAGCACTCTGGGAGGCTGAAATGGGAGGATCACATGTTTGAGCCCAGCCTGGGTAACTTAGTGATTTTTTTTGAGACACCCCCCCCCCATCTCAAAGTAGAAAGTGCTAAGGCCTTGGGTCCAAGGTTCAATCCCCAACGCTGTCACACACACACACGTGCGCGCATGCACAAAGATCATGTACAGGATGATCCCATCTATATGAAATATCCAGAAAAGGCAAATCTATAAAAATAAGAAAATTAGTGCTTCCCTGGGGCTGGGAGGGGGAATGGAAAGTATCTGCTACGGAGTAAGGGGGTTCTTTCTGAGATAATAAATGATCCAAAGTTCATTATAGTGATGCTCACATAACTCTGAATACAAAGTACACTGAAAACTATGCTGAATATACTAACACGACTGTACACAGATGACCTGCATGGTGTGTAAATGCTATCTACACAAAGCTGTAAAAACAGAAAGCAAGTGACATCAACAAGACTAGTAGAATGGGGCCCTCAAACCCTCCACCATGACAATGACAGCACTGGAAAAATGGTCATAATTGACCCTACAAATTCCAAAATGGACCCAAGCCATGCAACAAGGCTGGGCACACTTCCTGATGTCAAAAGCGGAAGTGAGGCCTGCAGGTGGAGGGTGGGCCCCAAACTTACTTGGACCGGAGTCCATATTCAAGGATGGCACGTGTAGGAGGAGGCACAAACATGGTCACAGTGGTGTGCCAAGGGACAAGCAGCCTGGGCAGATAATCCTGGGTGTGCAAGCTGAGGGGCACCAAGGACGGCAGGCAGCCCCAGCGGGTGGCTGAGGCAGGAGGGTTCTCCCAGAGGTTTCAGAGGCGGCACAGCCCAGCCGGCAGCTCCACCCCAGACCTCTGTCCTCCAGAACTGGGAGAACAAGCCTTTCTGTTGCTTCAAGCCAGCTATTTTGTGGGACGTTGTTACAGCTGTCCTAGGAGAATATGATACTAAAAAAGACTTTACAGAATTAACTGAGGAAAGTCAATGGACAAACAACAATCTGCAACAACACCAGGGTGGAGGTGGCACACCTGATTTCTAGAGTTGCCACATTCATTATCATTACTGTTATTATTTACAGTACCGAGGATTGAACACCAGGCCTTGTAAGTGCTAGGCAAATACAGTAACACTGACTATATTCCCAATACATACTATATTATTTTAAATGTTCACTTTTCAACAAAAATTTATAAGACAAGCTGCAAATACATGAAAAACGTTCAACATCACTGGTCATTCGTGAAATGCAAACTAAAATAATGCTAAGATTCCATCTCACTCCAGAAAGAATGGCTGCTATCAAGAAATCAACCAATAACAAATGCTGGAGGGGCTGTGGGGATAAAGGAACCCTTCTCCACTCTTGGTGGGAGTGTAGACTGGTGAAACTACCATGGAAATCAGTGTGGAGATTCCTCAAAAAACTAAAACTAGAGGTTTCATTTAACCCAGGTGTACCTCTTCTTGGTATCTTCCTGAAAGAATTAAAAGCATCATGCATACCACAGCAATATATCCATACCCATGTTTATGTCAGCACAGTGTGTAATAGCTAAATCTTGGAAACAGCCCAAATGCCCATCAACTGACAAGTGGATAAAGAAGATACATTTTTTATACAATGGAGTACTACTCTGCCATAAAGAAGGATGAGCTTCAGACATTTATAGCTAAATGGATGGACCTTGAGGCCACACTCTTTTTTTTTTTTTTTTTTTTTGGTACCGGGGATCAAACTCGGGTCCTTCCGCTTGGGAGGCAGGCAGCAGATAGGCCACACTCTTAAGTGAAATAAATTGGACACACATGTGTAAATACCACATTGTTTCTCTGGTGTGAGAAACTGAATGTGGAAATAAGGACTGAGATGTATAATGGATGTTGGGAAATGGGAAGAAAGTGCTCAAATGGGAAGGGGAACAAGAAAAAAAGTGAAAATAGAAGGAAAAGATGGAAATAAAGCTTTTGTACATAGGGAGGGGAGGGGATGGGTAAAATAAAATGTATTTTTAAAAATTTATAGGACATGCAAAGAAACAAGTACAGCCAAATTCAGGCAGGAAAAAATAACAGAAACCGTCTTTGAGGAAGCCTCAACATTGAATTTAGGAGACAAAGACTTTAACTATGTTCAAAGAATTAAAACTAGCAGGGCATGGTAGCACACTCTGGAGGCTGAGGCAGGAGGATCACGAAACCTTTGCAGTGAGTCCAAAGCCAGTCTAAATTGCAGTGAGACCCTGTCTCAAAAAACAGAATTTAAAAAAAATCAAAAGAACTAAGAAAGTACCAGAATTATGTCTTATAGAGACAAATTATGAAAAAAAAAAAAAAGGGACAGAAAGTCTGTAATTGAAGCTGGTCATGCTGGCACATGTCTTTAATCCCAGCTACCTGAGAGGCTAAGGCAGGAGGATTACAAATTCCAGACCAGCCTAGGCAATTTCGTGAGACCTTGTCTCAAAATAAAAAAAAAAAAGGAGCCGGACATGGTGGCACATACCTGTACTCCCAACACTGGGGAGGCTGAAGCAGGAGGATCACTGTGAGTTTGAGGCCAGCCTGGGCTACATAAATGAGACCCTGTCTCAAAAAGCCAAAATAGGGCCAGGTATTTAGCTCAGTGGTACCACTGCCTGCCTGGCAAGCACAAAGTCCTGAGTTCAATCCCCAGTACCAAATTTTAAAAAGCCAAAATAATAATAATAATAATAATAATAATATTTAAAAGGCTGGGGTATAGCTCATGGTAAAGCACTTATCTGGCATGGTTCATCTCCAGAACCCTTCCCTAAAAAAGAAAGATCTGGAGAAGCATTCAATAGCTAAAATGACAAGTTCCCAAGAAATGCCCACATCAGAAAAACAAAGCAAGCCCAAATAAGTAACCTAATGATGTACCTCAAAGTTCTAGAAAAAGAGGAACAATCCAAAGAAGTACAAGGAAGGAATAAAAAGGAGCAGAAATGAAATTGAGACTAAAAAATTACAAAGAATCAATGAATCAAAGAGCTGGTTCTTAGTGGTTTTTTGTTTTGTTTTGGTTTGGTTTTTTGAGACAAGGTCTCACTATATAGCCCAGGCTGGGCTTGAACTTGAGGTGACCCTCCTGCCTCAGCCTCTCAGTGTTGAGTTTACAGGCATGTGCCACCATGCCTGGCAAAAGAGCTGGTTCTTTGAAAGATCAAAATAGAAAA